TCTGACACTGCTTCACAAGCTCTACAACGGCCAAATAAAGCGGGACTCTCTCGCTGGTCCGGTAGAGATGGTAGAACTTGGCTTCAGTTGCGGCCGTTGGTGGTTGTAATTTTAAGCCTGCTCGGCCCGAACAGTTCAGCCGTTTCAAGTTTTCGTTCACGATAAAATCATCCTTGTGTTTATGGATATCACCTCCAGGCACCGGGATGACAGTAAGAGCCGAAGGAAATGTGCTCAAATCAGTTATGAACAGAGTTCCAAACGATGTCTCTTTCCTGCGTGCTTCGCATCCTGTAACTGCATCGAAATAGAGTTTTAAACGGGGAGACCAAGTGGATTCATCTGTAGGAACGCTTAGCAGTCCCGCTACTACTTTGTGTGAAGGCTCTCCCGTATAAGTCGTAATTATAAAAGTAGGATGAATCCTCGAACATGCCCATTGTTCAACAATGTATATCTCATAGCCCTGGAGAATCAAACGTCGATGCAGCACAATCGTCGAAGGGTCTTCTTCAAGGTATCGGAGCGCGACAGGATCGGTGAAGACGAGCCTCTGGTGACCAGGGAGAGACGGCTGCCTGTCAGGGTCATTCTGGGACGAAGGGCTTTCTTTGGGGGCAACTGATTGTTTCGTAGTCTCGCGCTGCATGGTAGTAGTAGTAGAAAGCGCAGCCTGTGCGCCGTTTTGCGTTGCGGTTTGCGACATGGTAGAAACAAGCTCCTACCGAGGTGGTAGTGAATGAAGGTTCATGTCCTTGAGGTTTGAACTGAAGAATCACGAGGAACGTAACCACGAGGGGTGCCCAGAGACCAAGCGCAGCGTAAGGGGAAAGAAAAGGGTTGACCCTCCTGGGGTCTGTGTCGTTCTGTCCAGCAAGCAGGAGAAGATGGTGACATATCCGAGGTGTGTTAATGTGGAGGTCTTTGCGGGCCTATAGTCTGAAACGTGGGGACGAGAAGCGGGAATACGGGTCAACCATGACGTTTGAACTTTGTCGACGGCTTGTAGAAAGTATGGTCTCCAGACAAAGATGGTATAGAGAGGGGGAATTCTGTTGCCATTGTCTTCAGCGACGTCACAAATGTCCATATTTATGGAAGCGGTGAGCGGCTAAGCCACAACAAATCTCAATTCAACCGTTGTCCAGATTCTCTCATGACTTAAAATTGATTGCTACTAATAACTCTATCGCTAGTCAACATGTGAAGACGCTTCTAGCCCAGAGTATAGAACGCCACATCTTCAGCACCAGCCAGAAAAAGCAGCTGCCTAGCGGCCCGTCAGCCACGCAATATATACTCTTAGAATTAGGGGTTGAGTGCACCGCCACATCTGGTGGTCAAAACCAGTTTGTGAGCGCTACTAGTCACGGGTATGTAGGAAACCTTCCTAAGCGCAATCCATGAAGCGCGTGGAATAGGCTTCTATTTACGTACTATCTACAAGATTTGTGATATACGAACTCCTCTTCTCTACAGGCCTCCAACATGGGAGGCAAACAGCAGTGAAAAGAAGACCGAGATTCTCGAGTACTTCCCAAATGGGTCGTGTCAAAGATGCCACAAGACGCACTCTTAGACTGGCTCATAGAAATATGAGTCAGGGCAGTTTATTTTCAAAAATTCCCAGCCGACCCTAAGGCCAACTGAAGCGGTCAAAAAAATAGTTTTCAACTAGCAAAAACACGATCTCGGATGTCTCCTCACTGATACGTGTATTGCCCGTGCACTAGGATGGAGAGGAAAAGAAAAAAGATCCTAAAGGGTTGGCGGGCGTCCCGGCATTATATACACACGCCAAGACCTGACTGGTGCGCTAGCGTAAGCGAGCTGCTTATCGGGTAAGCCCTCAATTGTGATTGGTTGTAACTGCAGTCGGGTCATCTCATTAGTACAGAACAGGTAGTACCCGTGACCTATCCATACACAGTAGATGGCCAAGAACACTGAGTAGTACAATCAAACTGGAGCCTGCTATGTTGCAGAGTAAGTGGCAGGCTCTTGTATTACAGCCATGTCGTAGCCGACTCGTACATCTATTTACGTACTACTGAGAACAGGAGGCCGCATCTTTCGATTCGTATTGTGTCTACCTATCTACTCTGTACGATAGCCACCTAGTACCCGTGGACACTAATTCCCATGCCTGTCTTGGTTACAAGTAGCCAATTACGCTCTGGGTTCTTGCTCCACTGTATTCCTGAAGAAGAAGAGCAATTGCTTCAGAAGATGATTCTTCTTCAGCTTAAGCTTATATACAGAATAGCGAAATTCGATCCGTAGACAAACTACGACTCTGTGGGCTTTGGAGTAAAGGAGAGAGACACGACAAACACTTTCAAGTGTCATCCGTTCCTCACCGTTTCACAGCAGCCCCTTGACTGATATGTTGGCAGCGTTGTCAGGAGGGGTAAAGGGGAAGCATCCCTACTACCCCGGGGCACGTGACAGTACATGTCGTAATGCCGTCCCTCCGACGATAGAGCAAATGACCTTTCAACCGACTCACACAACCTCCACTGCATGAACCAGATGACCTAGCTAGCTGGATCTACTAGAGGAACTGCTACTTGGTATTTATTTGCTACTTCAGCATATATTTAAATACTGGAACTTCAACTATAGCCCCCGTATGGCTATCGCCATATCACGGCGGTAACTTGTCGGACTCCGCTTTTATCACTACTCACGACTTACCAGAAATCGCCTGCTTCACCACCATGGATCTTGTTCAGAAGGAACATGAACGTCTTGGGAAGAAGATCAAAGCTGCTCAGGGCATCAAGAATGTTCAAACAACTATAGACTTACTACAGTCTGCACGAGATGCCATTGCTTCCGGTTGGTTCACCTCTCTTAGTTTCAGATGCCCGCCATTAGCTTTCACATCCCGCTTAACACTCAAACCAATCATGAACAAATAGTTCTTGACTACTTATAACTGCTTAGATCCGAGTCAGACATCTATGACATTGGCCAAGCTTCAGAACTCTGTGAAGTCGTCCTTCGACTCAATAAATGACAGCCTCAAGGACACTCATAGCAGCCTCAACAAGTATTCAAAGGCCTTAGATAAGGTATCGTCTCCCAAATCCCGGTCACAGGAGAGACTGAGAGCTCAAGAGCGCATTGCTTATATCCTCATTAGCTCTTTAAAGACAGACCGCTTCCAAGTACCGAACACGATGCCCTCGCCTCCCAAGAGCACCTCATCAACCGAGCTATCGCAATGCATCTCCTCCGAGAAGGACAATTTTCTGTCGCTGCAACGTTCCTTTCCGAAATGGCGGAGAAGAGGGCCATGGAGTCACAACAACAAGCGGGTACGAGTGCCTCGGAAAATGCAGCGACGCTCTTGGATATAGATGAAGTCCCGTCCAGCGAGGTTCGGAAACAGTTTGCCACCATGTATTACATCCTACATGAAATGAAAGAGAACAATAACTTGCTCCCGGCAATCCAATGGTCGAGGGATAATAGGGAAGCATTGGAAGCCAGAGGAAGTAACTTGGAATTCGAACTGTGCCGGTTGCAGTTTGTCTGGCTTTTCCATGGTGGACCTGATAAGCAGGGACCTATTCCGACAGGGCGGCAAGAGGCTTTGGAGTACGCCAGGCGCGAATTCCAGGGTTTCTTGCCGAGGTATCTCCGGGAAGTCCAACAGCTTATGGGAGCCATGGCTTTCTGTCCCAACCTGCAAGACTCTCCTTACAGGGCCATCTTCAACAACCCCTCTGCATGGGAAGATGTGGCACACTCCTTCACTCGTGAATTCTGCTCTCTCCTCGGGTTATCTGCGGATTCGCCTCTATACGTCACTGCTACAGCCGGTGCGATCGCTCTGCCGACGTTGCTAAAACTGCAAACCATCATGAAAGCGAAGCGGACAGAGTGGACCACGGAAAATGAGCTTCCGGTGAGCGCAGTTGGTGTCTTTCCTGTGCTATCTTCCACTAACTGTGTACAATATAGGTCGAAATACCGCTTCCACCGTCGTATCTCTTCCATTCTATTTTCGTCTGCCCCGTTTCCAAGGAACAAACCACTGATGACAATCCCCCAATGATGATGCCCTGTGGTCATGTCATCGCAGAGGAGTCACTTAAACGGTTATGCAAGGGCAGTAGATTCAAGTGTCCTTATTGCCCCAGTGAAAGTCATCCACGGGAGGCGAAGAAGGTCTTCCTGTAGGACAAAATAGATATGGGCCTTTCTGTTGCAGTATTTGAATGGCGTAATGGCGAGACATCTCTACACACATCAAGTTTTGGACTGGATATGAGAATCGAAATCGGGAGCGTGAGCATGTTACCTATGGCGTTTAAAGGTGATGGGCAACTTTCGGACTGGACATGGTTTTAGGGGCTATGCATATTGACAGCCCAAGCATATATCTCTATCAATGCTATGATTTAATTATTGACTTCAATGTGACGTTTGAAAAGCTTTACGAATGAAATTCGTTAGATAAGAAAGCAAAAGGATCGAGATGCGATTAACCCCACGTTTCCCCTATTAATGATAGATCCAATTCTGTTTCAAGTTTTACCAGCAGAGGAATCTGTAAGTGCACCAACACATGAGACATGCAAGTAAGAGATCGTCCAAATTCAATGGATGTATCAGTTTCCAGTCCAAACCGAAGCAAACAATTCGCCCATTGCGGCCTTGGGATCCACACCCCCTTACCCTTTTCCGTAACGTAATTGGGCAATGGCTGCCCCGTGACTGCGCGGACATTTGGCGATGCACGAAACCACTTTACGCGTGCATTACCCATTCTTACGCGTCTCCAATCATCATCGCAGATAATATTCTCGACAAAGAAAAGAGACGATATCCTTGCCGAGCTGATATTAACAAGATGGATGAATCAGAAAACATACAAAAGGCCCTGTTCACCCCCGGCGCCTTGGTCACAGATTGGCTCGACTTACTAGACCCCCTATTCCCCACAGTCCGTACTGACGGACGTTCATACGGACGCAGTACATGTATTCGCCATCCATTTCACAGTTTGCGCTGAGCTTTATTAAGAAAAGGAGCCCCTGAATCCATTGCTACCTATACTTTCCATATCTCTTCCTCATAACAAGAGAAATCGTCCCTCCCAAACGCCGACCGAACAGCATCAGCGTAGCGATCCCAGAAAAATGCTCTCCACAAAACGTACACGCACACCCCCCGGCAACCCAGATAGTTTCTCTTCTAAGTATGGAGCCGGAAAAATCGTATCTCGGAGCAGAAAGCAACAGCTGTTAAGGGACAGCCCGTCAGTATCGCGACGTCTAGACAGGCGTCAGGGCTCATCCAGCCCTCCACATGGACGGTAAGAGCCCCTGACCAACGCATACCCAGTGACAATTTATTCTCGCAAACGAAAATTGACCCGAATCATATATTGCTAGATCACTCTCGCCAGCCGTTATTACCCTCTGCGTAGGCCCTCAAAAACGCCTATTCGCAGCCCACAAAGACATCCTCTGCGTATCCCCGTTCTTCGCCGCAGCGTATACCCAAGCCCAGCCGTCAGACTCTCCCAACAGACGGGTGAACCTCCCCGACGAGCAACCGGAAGTCTTTTCGTGTATTCTCGAGTACCTCTACAAGGGCGACTATTACCCCCAGCTGGTGCACAACAAGCAATTGAATTCCTGGGAGTTGGAAGACACGGGGACCGATAAGGATGGTCAGAGTAATGGGGCGACTTTGTTTCATCATGCGGCTGGAGCGGAGATACTAAGAGATACGGCTGTTTAGTATGTCTTTTTTTCTGCAGCCCTTTCGCTTTCGCCTCTGGTTGTCCAACGTACTTGTCATGCATGAAAGGCCAATAGACTAACCTTCATGCTTCCCGAAACAGCTGCGCAGCCGATAAATACGGACTAGATCTTCTCAAACGCCTAGCCCTCCGAAAACAAGGCCTGCATTCCGGCATTCAATGTAGTACCATCCTCACCAGCGCACGATATGCCTACAGCAACACCCCCGAGAATGAGTCCAAGCTGCGGGCGCATTATCTCGCTTTGATTATTCGGAGCCGGTCAACGTTCAAGCGAAGCGGTACGATGCAAATGGAGATGGAGCAGGGAGGAAAATTGTTTTTTGATCTTTTCGTTGCAATGTGTAATCATATGGTGAGATCTCTCTCTGTCTCTCTGTCTCTCTGTCTCTTGTGATTGTTATTAACGTGTGTGATAGGATGATCTTACATCTAAGGCTGAGCCTTCTCCGGGTTGTTGATATCCACTGGTTTGGAGTCTTCGTGTGCCTTGTGTATCCGATATTTTTAATGTATGATTGGGATGTTATGCGGGCGGTACTTTTATTCACTGGTTGATTTTATTTTATTTTTCAGCCTGCGTTTTGTATTTTGTGGCTCTGTTTGTTAAGAGTCGACGCAGGCTGTCTTGGCTTGATGCCATTTTTGATCTTCGCTAAACAGCGTTATTCACTTCATACAGAATGAGGTGCTTTTATAGTGGTAGTTATATGAATATAATCCTATTTTTGCTTTCAATCCTCCACATCTTGTACCAGGCATGGTAGTGTAAGTGTAAGCCAAAGAAAGACTATCGTCCATGATGTGAGATCCTTAGGTACAATATTGATATTCTGAAGCCAATGCAGTGCATCTGATCATCGTAAATCATGCAAACTTCCTAACTTATAGCCATTGAAGATGCTATTTCTCTCTCCTGGCGTAGTCGTCGAATCTATCAATCGAGCAAGAAGACTCTGAGTCACTGTTATTCAGTAGTCCTTCATGATGCATTGCTGTTCATGTAGCAAAAGCTATGTTGTGAATCTAGCCATCAAGGGGTCGTGTAGAAGTTGGCCTAGGGTTTAAATTTGCGCATAGCGCAAGGCGCTAGAAGTTCTAGTGGGGAGGTCGTAAACGCTGAGCAGCGCAAGTTGATAACTAGATCTGTCCAGGACCGTTCAGATAATGATCCTCTGGTGATCGAGGATTTTGACGGTATATGCAGACAATATGGAACTGTGTAGACAATCGGCGCTAACATGCCTCTCGTCTTAAGTTGGCTGGGATGCTCTTAGACACCTGTTCCTGGGAACGCGGTGCCGCCCTTGCTTAGGACCACCATGCCGCGCTCCCGGGCAATATAGCCTTTCATAAGGCCCTATTTGTTGTCAGTGGCCGATGATCTCTCGTATAGCATACACGACGTAGACTACATGAGAATCGTTTGCGAAACTCACCTTGTAAATGAGGTTGGATAGCAAACACTCGACCTCGTCAATATCGACACGAGATCTATCATCTGCATGTGTACCTATCCTCAATGCTGCTGCGAACTCAGCAACTGGAACACGTGTACGTCGAATTGGCGGCTGGCCATCCTTGGATTCTTCAAAGCCTCCAGCGATGAAAACCTTTCGGAATAGGTTTCGCAATGCTATGTCACGTCCTCGTTCGAGGGGTAGGTAGATGCGTCGCTTGACAAATTCTTCCTCCCCTGCGGTCATAGCATTGTCGAAACCATTGAGATCGCCCTTCATGATACAGTTGCAAAGCGGACGGAACAACTTCTCAAGCCTGGGAAACGGAGCAAGAAGCTTCTTGCTTGGTAGAGTATGTGTCGTGACAAGATGACAAGGGATAAGATAAGCAAGAATCATCCTCCAAGAAGTTAGATAGTTTACTTGAGCGGGTGTTACTACACTCACTCCCTGTTTTTGATTGCATCTTTGTGACACATGTTCCATGCGTACGCCAGATGCTCTTCAGCCTATCCGAACGCAAGAGTTAGTCTCAGAGACCGACAAAGCCCGGAGCTGCTACTTACCTCTGCATAGTTCTCATCCAGAAAGTGGATCAATCCAACATAATATTTAAAGGTGACTATGTGAGACTTGGGAAAGACCTCCATATCTGGAAGGTCTGCTGATGAAGCTTTGAGCGCGCGAAGAAGGTTTTTGGAAAGTGAGACAGAATTGATCTAATATTTGTCAGAACATACATAGTGCTGTGGTGGTAATGCTTTCCGTACCTTGAAATAAGTTTTGAACAACAAATTTGTCGTATTATATATGCCCCATTTGCGCGACTCCTCAATCGGGGCTCTAGTTCAGTGATTAGCAGCGGGCTACAACTCATGCGGCCGCCTATGGAACCCACCTGTCACTTAGACATAAAGTAAACATTCGGTTGATTATACGTGCCGATTCCTCAAGCTTCGCACTCTTTTCGAAATCGGCCGCGATGTCATCCTGGAAATTGTCTCCGAATGCAACCGAATCTTGAGACGATAGTTCGGCGTCTGCTTTCATAGCGAAGATTCGCAAGTATTTTCCAACAACGTATAGACATGGAACTGTCCATGCCTGAAGACCGAAGTTCGTATAGCCCCGAATAAGGATATTTGCCAAGTCCTTCCAAGAATTGAAGACCTTTACCCAGCTCGCGCTTGACGGAGAGTCGGTGAATTTGGTAACTTCTCCGACAGCGGTCCAGTAAGTTGAAAAGATATCGATCCATGCATTTTGTTCTTGCTTCGGTAGCTTCAAGCCATTGGCCTGAAAGAGCGAATAGCGGAGATCTGAGGATACACGGGCAGCATTTGAGAAGCGGTAGAACGATTGGAGTCGTTGGGGGTACTCGGCGGGGGCAACGGGAGTAAGAGCAGCAGCAAGGCGAGGGCCAGAGCCAATTCGCTGGCCTTGAACGAAGTCTTCAAAGATGGTGGCCATGGTAGTATGTTCACGAATCAATCATAAACGTTCAGTGCCGGGTTAGCAAGTCGGGCCCATATCGCAAGTGTTCGGGCATTTGGCGGAGATGGAACCACGATATGCTTCCTCCGTACAAGTGCAAACATGAGGTGGGGAACGATGCCTCACCGCCAACGGGACCGATCTGATCAGCCACAGTGGCTGAACACCCAATTGGGAATGGTGTCCCGTGCCAAGCCTCAAGGTCGCTTAGGGTGGCAGCCCTAACTCAACGGAAATCACAAATCCCAATTTCACGAACGAGACCCAACCGGCATACCTCTCTCGAGCAACCACAACAGTCGACAAAAGTGAGTCCTACCCTGCCTATCTACCCACCATATTTAAAGGTCTTGTTGCTAACAGATTTACCAGATGGGTAAGTGAAAAAAAATTCCCTTCTTCGGACCCCTTTACCCTGGCGAATCGGTGCGGTGAATCCCCTTGCGAACGTTGAACGACACAATGCCGGAGAAAGAGTATTTTTGAGGAGGAGCATGAAGATGATACGGGCTCGATTTAGAGAAAGCGATAATGGTAGATTTCATGGAAAGGGGTTTAGTACGAATGGATGTTACGCACGGTCCGAAAGTTGGAATTTTTACGGTCGCATATCGTGGAAAATAATCTCGACTCTGGAGCATGGAAGTTATCGACAACGTATCGCACGGAACTCAGCGCACCGATTCCCGCCGTTGGGATGATTGAACGTCACGAATTGAAGACTTCAATGTGCCGATAACTGACTGGTTGTTATAGGGCGTCTCACCGAGTACCAGGTCATCGGGCGTCATCTGCCCACCGAGGCTAACCCCACGCCCAAGCTTTACCGCATGCGCATCTTTGCGCCTAACACTGTCGTGGCCAAGTCCCGGTTCTGGTACTTCTTGACCCAGCTCCGTAAGGTCAAGAAGGCCAACGGTGAGATCGTCAGCCTCAATGTCATCCCCGAGAAGCGTCACCTGAAGGTCAAGAACTTCGGTATCTGGATCCGCTACGACTCTCGCTCCGGTACCCACAACATGTACAAGGAGTTCCGTGAGATGAGCCGTACCGAGGCCGTTGAGGCTCTCTACCAGGACATGGCTGCCCGCCACCGTGCCCGTTTCGGTTCCATCCACGTATGTTTCTGCTGCTCGCGAACAATGGCTTAGTTTGAGTTGGCTAACGATACTGTGCAGATCCTCAAGGTTGTTGAGGTCGAGAAGGCCGACTCCATCCGCCGCCCTTACATCAAGCAGCTCCTCCAGAAGGACCTCAAGTTCCCTCTGCCTCACCGTGCCGCCAACACCGAGAACAAGAAGATCTTCGCTTACTCTCGTCCTGCTACCTTCGCTTAAATGTGAAATTTTGGGTGTTCGGGGAAGGAGTGTGCGGATGAAATGACTATGTTATGGCCATAGCATGCATGCAGGACAGAGCACGCAGAGAACATGGCGTGTATCTACAACCCAGATAATGGGAGAAATGGTTTTGATGTCTCACTAGTCCTCTGCAGCGACCTTTCTAGTTAAATCTCTTAAAAATACCGGGTTTGTCTTCTGAATGTGACGGTTCTCTACGAGGTGAATGAAGTAAATTTCCTGTTGGTAGGCAGGTCCCCCTCTATACATTGTATTCTCCACTCGAATCCTTTGTGTTGATAGGATACCGAGACAATTGTATAGCGTCGCTCAATACTACCTGTCGACTGTGTAGTGTGAGATGTCTCAACGTATACCGGTTATGTGTCGGATAGACACGCTTCAAGGCGGGTAGAGTTGCATTGCGTGTGTCTGTCTGGATTTCGGCTGGTTCCATCTAGTCCGTAGTTGACTGAACACTAGGACTAATGCTTAATCGGATATATTTCGAATCGGGTCGGATATATGGTTCGGATTCCATGGCAGCGAAAAAATATCTTCCACGCACTTCAAACAAGACAACGTAGCCCGCTGGCCATATAGAAAGCAATACAGGTCTTCAGTGTCTCCATAATCATGCGAGTTTTCAGAGCCATCATGCAGCAAAATGCAGCGGAATGGAGAGTCGCACGTTAGTAATAAGGCACGGAAGACAGGGATTGCGTCATGTGTAAGCGGCGTGGTCGGAGGGCGGGTCCCGAAGACGAAAAGAGCTCAGTTAAGGACCTTAGTCTCCAGCCGTATTTCTAATCTTCTCGCTTCTCCTCTTACCCCATTGAACACCCCCTCCACTCTCATTCACTTGGAAAATGTTCGCCCGTCAGACCTTCCGCTGTGCCCAGCCCTTGAGGCAGGTAAGAATCACTGGACTCTTCTCATACTGGTTCCGAACTTGTGCTGACCCGTGTGCGCAGAGCTTCCGCAAGTACTCTACGGAGGCTCCCAAGGCCAAGTCGCTGGCCCCTATCTACACTGCTGTCGGCCTGACCGGTCTGAGCGTGGGCTTGTACCGCTACTACTATGGAGCTACGGCCGAGGCTCCTGTTGAGCGCGCCAAGGTTTTCACTGGTGGTGACCAGGGATGGGTGGACCTGAAGCTGTCGGAAATTGAGGTCCTCAGCCACAACACCAAGAGATTGCGCTTCGAGTTCGAGGACAAGGAGGCCGTCTCCGGTGTCTCTATTGCTTGTGAGTGGCTCCGACGATGATCTGCCCCGATAGGCTTGTTGACGAAAAATTAGCTGCTCTCTTGACCAAGTTCAAGCCCGTTGGCGCCGAGAAGGCCGTCCTCCGTCCTTACACCCCCACCAGCGATGAAGGTAACGACTGGCCCTTTTATCATCATAATAATAATTACTTATGACCGTGGCAGACCAGCCTGGCTACCTCGACCTTGTCGTCAAGGTTTACCCCAACGGACCCATGTCTGAGCACCTGCACAGCATGAACGTCGACCAGCGTCTTTCCTTCAAGGGTCCTCTCCCCAAGTACCAGTGGGAGGCCAACAAGCACGAGCACATTGCCTTGATTGCCGGTGGCACCGGTATCACTCCGATGTACCAGCTCATCCGCCAGATCTTCAAGAACCCCGACGACAAGACCAAGGTTACCCTTGTGTACGGTAACGTCTCCGAGGACGATATCCTCCTGAAGAAGGAGCTCCAGCATCTCGAGAACACCTACCCCCAGCGCTTCAAGGCTTTCTACCTCCTCGACAAGCCTCCCAAGGAGTGGACCGGCGGCAAGGGCTACATCACCAAGGAGCTCTTGAAGACCGTCCTTCCGGAGCCCAAGGAGGAGAACCAGAAGATCTTTGTCTGCGGTCCTCCTGGCCTCTACAACGCCGTCAGCGGTAACAAGGTCAGCCCTAAGGACCAGGGCGAGCTGTCCGGTATCCTGAAGGAGCTGGGCTACAACAAGGACCAGGTCTACAAGTTCTAAACGATTCGGTTTTAGATTAGATTTAGATATGAAGATATCAGTGTATTTTTGAATGTCAAAACATATTCAATTGGAACATCTACTTGGCGAACTCCCTCCCTACAAAAATCTAGACCAGTAATGCAAACATACCACCGTTCGGAGAATAGTATTCAGCCCTATAAACACGATCCATCAAATAGCAAAAGAGATAGATATATACATCCACCCACCCAAGACCAGAATCGAATCAACAGATCAATACATAAATTAAGAAAAAGAATAAAATAAAACAAAGCTCACTGATCCCTCGCCTCCAAACACCCATCCACCATGGCATCCACCGCTCTCTCCCTCGTCCCCACCGTCAAAACCCCCCTCTCCACCAACATCATCAGCGCATCGCCCACCCAATTCTGACAATTCCAGTCCAAATCCTGCCTCCCGTTGCGCACCGGCGTCGCCGACACCGCCCGCCGAATCGTCTCCGGGCTCACGTCCCCGTCGATGTCGCCCACGGACACCGTCTTCGCCAGCTCGCTCCCGAAATCATGCGGATCGGCATCCACGTCTTCCTGGAAGATGAAGAGCCCTTGCGTGCCGACCACGTGCATCGTGCTGGTGCTGCCGGTCGCGAAGCTGAAGTGCAGCGCTGTGTGTCGGTATTCGGGGTAGTCGAGGGGGGAGCCCGTGTAGATTAGGATGGAGGATTTGGTGGTCATTTTTTTTTAAAATTTTTATTTTGTTGATTTTGATTCTGGTGAGGGAGGGGGGTGTTGTATGGCGGTTTGGGTGGTGGGGGTGAGAGGGGAATTGTAGTTGGGATTGTTGGTGGCTTTATATATATTGGAAGAAGAGGTGGTGAGGGTTGGTTTCTTATTTGGATTTATTGTACTATCCTCTGTCGCAGATAAGTGCCAAGACTTGTTATCGTGTCTGAACGATCTTGACCTTTCTTTGGCGGTTGTTTATGGTGTTGGGATGGAGTTGGAGTGGGTATTCATTCCGGTTGGGTTATCATCTCTGGTGTGGACGGACTACTACTTTATTGTTCAACTGACATGAGTACTAGTGGTTTATGTTCAATATCTCTATTCATTTGGGTCGATCCTATACTGAGGTAACCATCACACATTATATACCAGGAAATTATAATAACAAAGGAAGAAGGAAAAAAAAGTCTTCATAGGTCTGATTTACATCCACTTCCGCTGGATTCCCTTCGCATGTTCGGCGCGCCAGCACGGGAGCCACTTCTTCAACGCAAGGCTGAACAACTGGCGCGACTTATCAGCCGGCTTGTAACTCAAGCGGTAGTCGAAGCAATGCTCGGCGCCGGGGATGACATAGCCGAAGAGCACATTCTCGGGGGTCTCGACACCGCACTTGGGGATGTTGGTGGAGATCTGCACGCCCTTGGGCGCAAACGTCTCATTCGACAGGGGTGTCAACGTGCGCCAGGGATCGAACTCGCCCGCGCTCCAGAAGACGTTGGAGGGCCGGATGGTCCACCCGCCTGTCTCGGCGTTGGTCTCGTTCGCCTCCGGGTGCTCGGGGAGCAGGCCGCTCTTCTGCGCGCCGGGGAACTGGCGGTAGCAGAGCGACTGCTGGTACTCTAGTGACTGGTACTTGGACAGCAGGGAGTGCGGGCCCTCGTTGTCGGCCTGCAGGTAGCCCCATTCGGTGCAGTATTGCCAGGTCCAGCTGATGGTGTCCGGGTCGGAGAACTGCCCGCCCAGCTCGCAGGTGGTCGCGGTGGAATTGTCCTGGCCCTTGCAGTTGCAGTTGCCGTCGCCGACGGAGCTGCCCCACTGGTTGATGAGGGAGAGCAGCGGCGGCCAGGCGGCGAACTTCTTGGTCAGGGCCTGGGGGCCGATCTTGGGGGCGATGCCGTCGGGGCTGGCGGATTTGTCGAGGTAGCTGCAGAGCTGGGAGAGACCTTCTTTGCCGCCTTCGACGCCGTAGCTCTGGAAGAGGTTGTAGATGCTTCCGAGCGCGGCGGTGAAGTCGCCGTTGGAGTTGTGGATGCCTTCCTTACCGAGGAAGAGAGTCTTGATGGCGTCGGCGGCTTGGCCCTTCTTGTCGAGCTGGCTGTCGATGTAGTCGTTGATGGCCTTGAGGTCCTTGGCGCAGCCGCCGAGTCCGTTGGCGACCAGGCCGCGGTAGACTTGCTCGAAGTAGATGGTCATGTTGACCCGGGCTTCGACGGGGGCGGACATGGCGAACGAGGCGAAGATGGTGTCTGGGTACTCGTTGCGGGTGAACGCCGCGCGCATGCCCGGGTAGGAGCCGCCGAGCATGATCCAGGGAGTGGACTTGGGGCTCAAGTCCGTCCCGTTGAGAGTGAACTTCTCAGCGAAGTAGGGAAGGTCGGCTAGTGCCTGGCTGTAGGTGAGGTACTGGAAATGCTCATTGGGGGTGCTAGTGTTGATGGGGAAGGGCAGGGAGTCCCCGTAGTAACTTCAATCGGACGTTAGCGATCAGTCAGTGGAATGATGACTGGGTGGAGGGTCTCACCGATGCTCCCACACAAGACCAAGTCCATTGAACTCCTTCAGGTACTGCGCGAAGAAGTTGTCCGATCCGCCGAGATACGACTGCGCTACGGAGTAGGCATTGCCTTCACCGGCATCGAGGACAAAGACGGGGCCACCAGGCTTGTAGAAGTCCGTTGAGACCCAGTAGCGGTTCTGATACGTGCCCACCGATGAATCCTCGTGGTCAATTGGAATCTGACCACCGAGTTAGCGTCCACCTTGTATACGAGAAAGCTTCACTGGGGAAAGACATACCGATATCCGCCGGGCGGGGACCTCTGAGCCTGAACCGCGAGAAAGAGCGGTCTCTGCGACCTTTTCAGGATTGAACCTGGCAGTGTGGCCATCGATACCAAGTTCTGAGGCGAGTTGCAGAGTGTTGGCCTTGATGCCGGGGAGAAAGCTTAAGGCAGCAGACTGGCCCACCAGCAGTGTGAGGAGGGCCTTCGAAAATGTATGTGTGAGGGACACCATTATGGATCCAGAACCCCGGAGACAACTCGCTACGATGCTTTTGGGTCTTTAATTTACAAGATCTCACCGAGGACGAACTGCCTTACTTATAGCTTATCGGCTGCAGCTGGGCCCATGTCTTCTGTGCCCTGTTAGCTCTTCATTCAGCGCGGAGAATATGACTAGTGCCCATTGTCATGCCAGGCTAACTGATACTACCCTGCACGGAGTGAAATTGCCTGAACCGCGATCGGCGAGAGGCTTATATTGACATCGGGCCCACGGAGTCTGAGAGTTTATTATAGGACGAATTATCGTCTTCGGTCTACAGAATCGACCAGTCATACGGTGCTCGTCCCCAGTGGGGCATCAGTAGTGGGAGATGGCCTGTTGAGCGAGAGTTGAGATGGTTGACTTGACCGCCTCTGAGCCTCAAGCATGCACGAGGCTGTGATATCGGATTTTCCCAAAGAGGATGTGATTGACTCTGGAGTCCAGTCAACAAGATGCACAGTCTGGGGCCAAAAAGCCTATTCGTGATTCGATTGCCGGCATGGAATACGAAGAATCGAATTGTAGCCTGAAGCACAGTGCTGTCCATGTTCCAGGGTTCAGTGCCTGCAGATCCCTTGACAAATTAGGGTAAATAATCTAAGTGTAACGTTGCTATCGGAATCGATTTAGTCAATATGGATGGGTCGTAACTAGATCGTATTTAGTTAGCCCTAATGTGATGACTTGTGCATACTAAGACACGGCTTGTCCGGCGTCCCCATCATGAAGTCTTGTTGTTTCTCCAGCAGGCATATCAATACACCATCTCAAATCCACCATCCTCATGCTGAAAAATGTGATCGACATGAAGGACGTCGTGGGGGCCATGCTGGGTTTATTTTTAATTCTGACTGTACACCATCGAACGAGGCTGTTCAAACCTCTAGCGAGTGCGCAAGCGTGTCATCCGAATGGCCTCTACTAAAAGACTTGGCAGTCCAGTCGAACGGGGTCACTCCAGTGACTCCACATTCATCCGAGTCCAAACGGTGCCCAGGATTCGGGGCAGAGCCGGAGTCCGAGCCCATTGCTCAGCAAATCACCGATGCTATCAATCCTTCCCCACCATGTAACTATCGGTCTTTGCTGGCCGGAGTACCCGGTCGTACTGAGAACGGAGATGGTCTGCAGAAGGCGGAGCTTAGAGAGCTTAGTATGATTTGTATGGCGCACAGCCTCCACCAGCTTTCTCTTAGCTAATATTTTCCGAAGTCGTTGAATGCATGATGTTGCCCTAGAGGATGATGCCCAATTTATCCGTGGAGGAATCGAAAGTTAACTCACGTACCGTGGGATAGTCTTATAATCATTGTGCGTGTTGTAGAGGTAGTATTACCCGATACCTTTTTATTTGTGGTACATCTCCCAAAGGATCCACAGCCAGTAAGCCCATAGAGAAGGTATATTCTGTGAAGTGTCTTGATTAAATTGCCGTTGTTGACACTGAAGGTTCTGTGTTGGCTAGTTTAAACCCCATATTTCTCATGGTATATCCGGCACCTTCAGTTTTTTTCGAGCGGTAAAACGAGCTGTACAATGCTTCTAGAACTTCCGAGTCGTAAGTCTTGTGTCAATCAGGACGGCCTGATCTCATTTCGGAACCTATGCTCTTAAAACTAAGAATGATACTGCTCGGAGCCTCTCGGTCGATATGGGACCTGATGACAACAGTCGACAGCTCATACCCCCCACAGGAAGTGTTTTGTCATATTCGTCACTGAGAGCCACATCTCGAATAGGACCCAAATCCTTGAGGGATCGTGCGCTCTGAGTCCTGACAACCGAAACCGGCGAGAATGAGGCAACTACTAGCCATGAACGTTCTTTAAGTTAATAAATGGCGGTCCGACGATACCCTGGAATGCACCATATAGAGCACTGTCAATCGGGAACATTTATGGAGAGTAGACAAACTTCTCCGCTTCCCACCATACCCCGGGAGTTGCTGTAGCTGTGCGGTCCATGAGAAGCGACGCCATGACATGAGTAAATGTTTAAGATCAACCTGTATAATCCTCCATTTTGAGGATTATTTCATCATCTCGCTTCAACTAATCCGGGCTGCTAGACAAATCCTTTTGCACCTCTAACCCTACGGAGGGGTTGAAATAAAGTTCCGAAGGATTATCTAGTCATTGGATTTCAATTGTATTTGAAGGTTGAAAGAAGGAACCTCATATGATTGAAAGAGTGCGCTATGATCATGGGCTGTCTATGTGTTGGGTAGTGCAGGGTTGCTTGTCAGTCAATTATCATAGTCATAGGAGAAGTATTAAATTTGCCAAAGAAAACCCTTTTTACTGGACAGATGAAACTACCAAATCTCATAGCACTGTACACAAATAATGCTGAATAGATTAGATTCAATCTATATACCCACATATGCTCCACAGGAGATCGACAGGGGGTGGTACATTCCTGAGAGATTCGATCCTCCGCAGGTAGCCTTCCTAAACCCGTCGGAGACCAGTTGTCACAAGAGAATCTTTCTTGAGAGAAAGCTTTTGTCTCTCGTATTTCTGTTTTCTGAATTACTTGATAGTCTCTGTATGGAAGGAAACTCTTTTGGTTTCTAACAAGGAATTCCATCTTATGTTACTCTAACACCATGACTTCTCGGATTGAGTGATCAGAGTGGTCTTACGATGATACCGAAGCGCAACTTATAGAGGGTCTGTTCCGTTGAAGCATTGGGATAGAGCAGCAAAAGAATGCCACTTAGCATTCAAACTCTTACAAACCCCATCCAGACCCAGTGGTTGCTCTCCCCTTAGAAGCAGTCCAGTTGGCGCAGCCGGGAATAATGCGCTTGGTAAGAAGTAAAAGATGTAGCGTTCAAGAATACTTCCCAGGAACAGACAAAATGAAACTACTCTTTTCCTTTGAGGCTCTCCATTTCTAGCCATTGCATCCGACCACACTTCAGAGTCTTGAATACAATAACTTTCTCGCCGTTTCTAACTCAAAGATGTCGGACGTTGCTAAAGGCTTTGTTGGTGGCGTCAAAGACTTCGTCACAACCCCTGGGGTCATCCCGGTGTTGATCCACTGCTGCTCACTGCTTTGGAGGTGTCTAGGACGAGCTTAATCGATTCATGTCATCAAGAATGCGATTGCATGTGATGCGCAGGTAGTGAAACTGGCGCGAGAAGCCCTCAGCGGGTATTGCATTCGCCTCCGATACAATAATTATTTCAAGTAAAAAGAAGTGATTTTCCAGAAGGAGAGTTGCTTCCATTTCTTTACTAAAATGCCCTTTTTAGATACCTAGCTATTCATGCTCCTTGCTTCCATAGACGATAATTGCCTAATTGCCTGCTACCACGGGGCGTTGGTGAGGTCTCGGGCGAAGGAAATCGCTGGGCCGCTTGCTTGGTCCTCTGAATTCGTATAGCCCATACTGGGCGCCAGAGAGGCGGGGGGTGGTTGGTTCTGTTGACTGTGTCGTTCATCTTGGTAGGTTGGGAGGTCATATCCGGGGACATCTTGACAGAGGAAAATGAAGCTGAAGAACCGTAAATGCAAATACTGCCCGCAGTAAGATAGGAATCTATACTGATATTGTGCAAGTTATTTAGAAGAACTGACCACATTGATGTTGCTCTAGTTCATGAAGCCCAGGCTTTAGATTGGCAGCAGGATATGCAGTATGTATAGGTTGCTGTTGTCTAGAAAATCCAAAGAACCTGCCCAGCATGGAGCTCAAGAAGGTACTTTGCATAGGAGAGGGTCTTCAGGGTTTGCAGAACCAAGCCCAATCACAAGACCATTAGGGCTGCTATGCTGCCTATCCTTAACTTGTGGTACCTTACAGGCGTATGAGCTATGAGGGGGATTATTTAATAAGTGAGATTAGTCCTCACAAAGCTTGGTATACCTTGGCGAAGGCGGTTTATTGAGTTCGGTGAACTGTTCATTTTCATGGACTCTGAAATGGGACTGGCTTTACTATACCCTGAGTATAGCATGGGAAACAGCAATAAGTTCTGGAGGTGTCCTGCCGGAGCTTCTATTTAGGTTAGGTATTTCAGCGAATGGATTTCACGGTAAGAGGCAACTTTTTCCATCAAGTCATCAATGGCTCTCTATTGGTCGTCGACATGGAATTCGATGGGTTGGTGGTGGCGATCATAGACACGTTTCATTTGGACCGTGGCATACTTCATCGCTTCCTCGGCATCAAGCCTAATGCTAAAGTCTTGCTTATTCACGAGGCGGCGGAGCAGGTTCCAACGCTGCCTGATATCGACACCGAAAAGCAGTCTGTGGGGTGTTTGCTGAGTAGATGCGTTAGGCGAGTTATTAACACTTGAAATCATGGACGGTATATGGTCCCACTATTTGACTTTGTGGGAGGACGATAGGGTAGCGAAATGTCTGATCGGAATTTCGATTATTTGTACTGCGCCCCCACGCTCGTAGTCTAGGTTGTGATGCGGTATCACCAGGTAGCCGCAGTCAAACACACGGTTGAATATCGGAGTTGCGGAAAGGAACCAATTCGTCTCGGCTCTCACAAGTGCGGGCGCCTGATGTCCCCCGGGCCCTGATCGTTTTGACGTTCTGGGCCTCGTTATTAACCCGGTTGGTTTGCGAGGATCCTTGTGGATTCATTCATTCTGACCGGAACTGGGGTTAACAATTCCTTTTCTAATGAAGTTCTGGTTTCTCCCACGAGAAGGTTCCGGTGGGTCAATGTCGAGCAATGTATCTCAGCTGGACTCCAGAACCATACCCAAATCCAGCTCGAACTATGAATGCAAACTCTATGGTGTCGGAATACCTGGTCAACACGCCAGGTACCCCTATACCCAACCTGGGTATCGAAAGCGGGATACATTGTCGAGAGCCTCGTCCAAGGCGTATCCTGAGTATGTCTCTCGGAAGTAGAAAACCTCGTCGAGAGTGCAAATGGAGTCCAGGGTGTTGGATTCTGAAATTCGATATTCGAATCACATTTTCGTGAGGAGGGGGAAGGGGTCCCCTGGCCCTGAAGAAGGCAGATACATCTGTCTTCGTTATGCCAGAGCTTTCTTAGGTATTGCAAAGCCCAAAGTGAGGGTAATTTTATGAAACTGTCTAATATTGATGTATAGGAAGCATATGGCTCGAGTCAAACTATTTCCAATGTCCGTATTCATTTACATAGGGCTCTGACCGGGCGAGAATGCGCGTGGAGGATAGAGATCACGGCGATAGAGTGTTATGACCACCTGCTTGGTTTTGGAACTATATCTCTCATCCGGGCGAGAAATAGATAGAAGTCATGATAGTATGTAGGAGAGCCTTGATCTCTAGGTGAACCCAGCCCAGATACAGAGGGTTAAATAGCGAAGGAAGGACAAATTCAGAGAACACAGGCTATTTATTCACTAGTTTACACTTCAACACCTACAATGATTTGATATTCACGACCTAAAGTCATTCCCTTGATGCAAGATTGACACCTCTCATGCTGGTGAAAATGTCGCAAGACTAGTAACCGTGGACTGTCTATAAACCGTGATATTAACTTATATTCTCCTATAGCTCTCTTTTCCTGGAACTATGATATAAACAAAAGAATATGGAATAGGACTACATATCGATTCAGTGGACATGTATGCGATGATGAATGAAACTGAAGCGAATATACTTAACCAAACATTAGTGCTGTTGAGTTTCATAGGAACACCTTATTCAATAGCTAGTTTTGATCTCCGATAGTATTGTCCGCCTTCTCTACGGAATGTCTTTGCCTGGGCTCCAGAGGTCTTGCGCTTATAGAACCGGATTCTCTGCCATGATGAATGTAGGGTCAACTTTGCACGCGGAAGGTTGCACAGTTCCAACTAACGGCCATAGTGGGGAAAGGAGGATCGATTGACATGCTACTAGCCCTAATTAATGATGTTTAAAATGTCCGGGGGGGATTTAGGGGGAATTTGGCGGGAGGAAACTAAACGGCAGATCAACAAGTGGATCCAAGTACTGGATACGTAGTGTACATAGAATACGAGGCTGCTACTGCAGATCCATGGTGATCTTTGTTCGTTCCTCATGCATCGCGGCATTTTCCTTCAGTCACTACTGCATACTCTACTTCGCTTCATTGTCCAATTGTACAAGAATGACCATCGAGTGGCCCAGTAGGCAGCCCTTGAATTGACAACGGAGCTTCGTCTACTATGCCCAATGGAACTCTCGGCCCTGGGGTTAGTACGTGAGGTAGAGTGGTGCCTTTGAATGCGATCGCGGGACCAGACGGGATTTAAGTTTATACAGGCTTATCAGTATGAACAAAATAACTATGTATAGAGTGATTATGATGACAGTCTTGATAGTGGAATGTTATTCGCTTATTTCCGAACGAGAGCAAGACTAGTACGCCATGTACAGAAAATATTAAATTGTTGAACTGCTTCTTGATCCCTATGGCATCAACTTACATAGTTCGAGATAGTAGTAGTTGAGCCTACAATATGGGAGACCTCGACCGCCACGCCCTTCATGGCGATGCCCTGCGAGCCACCGGCGAACCTATCGCTCTCCCGCCAAATACCAATCTAACAAAGTTCAGAGCCTTCATTTCGCGGGTGACAAGTGTTGTAGATGAAACAAATGTTCAAATCATCCTGAGCGACGATGACATTGCTCAGGAAGAATATACGGACCCCTCCAGAGCTCATGACATGTTTCACATCCTCGACAAGACGCATTTCATTTCTTCAGCTGTGGTTGCACCTAAGAATGTCGCTGATGTCCAAGAAATCATAAAATTGGCCAATAAATTTGAGGTCCCTGTCTGGCCTTTCTCCAAGGGTAGAAATATCGGCTATGGCGGCACTGCCCCAAGAGTGCGCGGCAGTCTTGGTATCGACTTGGGCAAGAACATGAATAGAGTGTTGAAAGTTGATCCTCAGAGTGCCTATGCCTTGCTCGAGACTGGGGTGTCTTACTTTGACCCTCATGAGTATTTGGTTACGCACAACTTGCGGGATCAAGTGTGGGCGGACGTACCTGATGTCGGTGGCGGTTCGGTTATTGGGAACGCGCTCGAAAGAGGCACTGGATATACCCCATATGGTGAGCACTGGTAAGCTGTTAGAAGGAACTATGTCCAAAGGAGATCAGCTAACTGGCTTATTCATAGGATGATGCACTGCGGACTGAAGGTTGTCTTGCCCGATGGCTCACTCCGCACCGGGATGGGCGCTTTGCCAAACCCGAAAGCGGACAAGAGCAAACCACCACATGAACAGGAACCAAATGAGAGCTGGCAGATATTTGACTGTAGCCTCGGCCCGCATAGTGCTGGTATATTCTCTCAGTCCTCTCTCGGCATCGTCGTGAAGATGGGAATTTTGCTTCTGCCTAACCCTGGCGGGTACCAGGCGTACATGGTCACCTTCCCCAGGGACAATGACTTGAATCAGATCGTGGAGATACTCCGACCTTTGAGAATCTCCGGGGTAATTCAGAACACACCCAAGCTGGATAACGTCCTGGTTACCGCGGCCGTCCAGGTATGTCCGCCGAGCTATTGACCGTCATTTATCGGTTTCTCACATTATCTCAGAGTCACCGCACCGAATACACCACTTCCAACAAACCCCTAACTGACTGCCAGTTAGATGAGGTCGCCAAAAAGCTCAGTGTCGGTCGCTGGAATCTCTACGGAGCGATGTACGGCCCACCCGTCATTCGTGACGCTCTCTGGTCCGTCATCAACGCATCCTTTAGCAAGATTCATGGCGCCAAGTTCTATTTCCCCGAAGATCGTCCCACCGACACCGTTCTACAAACTCGAAGCAATACAATGCAAGGTATCCCATCCACAACCGAGCTTGGATTGCTATCCTGGCTCCCCAACGGCGGACATCTGTTCTTCTCTCCGATCGCCAAAGTAACTGGCCCCGATGCCAACGCACAGTACGGCCTCACCCGCCGCTTAAGCGAGGAGTACCGATTCGACTTTATTGGGGTGTTCATCATCGGGGCTCGTGAGATGCACCACATCGTCTGCATCCTGTTTGATCGGAAAGATCCCGATGCAAGACGTCGAGCCCATAAGCTTATTCAGGTCCTGATCGCCGAGGCGGCGGATCGGGGGTGAGGTGAATACAGCGCTCATCTTGCTTTGATGGACCAGATTGCTCAGACTTAACAACTTCAATGAGAATGCGCAGATGAAGTTGAACGAGAAGTTGAAGAACACGCTCGACCCGAAGGGGATCCTGTGTCCAGGAAAATATGGTATCTGGCCTGCTAATTACCGGAAGGAGGATTGGAGCCTACATAAACCATAACATTATTCAAACCAATATGCATACATACGCAAGGTTCATGTGCATAATACATATTGAAGACTAGCAGAAGCTAGTTACTTCAAGTTGCTGCTAAAGACCCTGGATAGTCCGACGGGCCGAACCGATCCGCCAAATCAGAACCTCCCATGGCACCGTTGGCACTTGGCAGCAGCAACAGAAAGCCGGTTTCTGTCGAAGATTGGAACAAGGAAAATTAATTCTTTTTAGTGCATCTGAAACACCAAAACTTTCCTTAACAGCTTTTTCAATATTCCGTCATGCTATTCGCTTGGCTTTCTGTTTAGGGTACATTTCTCCGGGCCGGCCTTGCGGGTATGGCTCGTAGCCAAGCTTGTGAGTTACCTGGTTTCTGGGAGGACTTTTCAACCGCTAAGGCCCATATACTCCGTAGGGGTCTTCCTCCCCGAATTAACGCGGACACAAGCTGAGTGTAGTAGCGTCGCTGTGGGGGCACAGAGCTAACGTTCTTTCTTTCAAGTGTTTATTTTCCAAAGTTCATTAGCTTTGCAATTATGGTATCAACATCTTCAATTTTGTTATTTGTGACACCTCCATTCAGCATGTGCTTGGTATTCTAAACACTCCCGCTTGAATGAAAAGGGCCTACGATAAATTATTGTTTAGCACTAAAATTGGAAAGCCGTGGCCGACGATGTACGTCTATTACGTAAAATGATGGACGGGGCTTCCACAACCCTAAACGTTGGCGTGCGGTGGGTACCTTAATCCTTTGGGTCGCTTTGTCTAGCTTTTCAAAGTTTATATCATCTAGAAGGGACGTAGACAACTCTACAATTTGATTAATTCTAACTCTTACAAGATGATGGTTGTTGTCGGGGATCGAGTTGATGACTTAGTTGTATAAGTAGGTTGCAGCAAAGGGGCAGTCCTATAGTAAGCGGGTAATTACCTCTTAGTCTTCATGGCATGGAGGACTCTATGAGGCTGAGGTATGTGCGGGGCTTGATTGAATAAGATTAGTAGAGCATTCTCAGGCGTCAATTCGTGCCATTGAACGCATATCACATCACGTCTTGAGCTGATTTGAGTTCCGATAGTGCGACCAAAGGGTTGAGGCTTTTGTAGCCAATACCGGAGATTTTGCTTGCTGCGTGAGATGATGGGTGCATATGCTGGAGTTTAATCCAGAGTTTGATGTGAGATGAATATATGTCTACGTTGGAAACTGTATTCCGTTGATTCTTATGGCAATGTATGCCACTGGAGGTCCTCGAGTAGCTTTGCGACTGATTGCACGCTACACGGAAGAGTCTTTAAGTCATGTCTAAATTCCAAGCAAAGTAGAAAGTAACTGACTGTATTATTGTCTTAATCTATACAGTCCGTATACCCTGTAGTATCAAGTGCATCCGGCAATGTCTCATGGTGGAGTTGTACCTTTCACGGCGTCTCTCACGATCCATGATTTGCTTTTGCGATTTGGGAAAACTAACATTGAGTACTAGCTACCATGCCCGGTACCAGCTGCCCCCGGCCATCGAGCTGGCCAGGTAATGCATACCTTATTACTACCTACTATATGGCATGACCAGCCCTCGTCCAAGCCACGGAGCTGTGGAGGCCAGCACAGAGACGCTCTGGCCCTCGCTTATATCCATCGATCAGACGCATTAAACTGGAGATCCATCATTGGACATGTCCATAAGGAGTGGAGACCATGGCGCAGTATGCAAAGATTGCGAACAAGGCCGCAGTCATATGGCTCGTTTGATCAAACAGCGCTTGATGTCAATGCCTTTGCTGGATTATACACAGTCTTGTCTAGTAGATGCTAATGATCTATCAGGACTCTGGAAATGTTCCGAGTAATCTTCTGTGTACATGGTCTGCTACTGATCGAATCATAAAAATAGATACTAGTGGGTTTCTCTGAAGCTCCAAGCCTGCATTGTTGCTTACGCGGGGGCTTATAGCCGCCCACTAACAAGAGTATCCTACAAGATTGCGATTGTCATTGCGCAGTGTTAAACGACAAAATTGTCGGTTCGAATTGATTTGTAAAAAGAATTGAAATGAGATTACGAAGAAAGAGAGAATAACGGAAAGGAAGTATTTGGACGAGCACTGGGAAAGGAAGAATAAAATCAGCATCCACAAAAGTGGCTACTCTGCAGACCCCCATTTGTGCAAGAGGGTGCAGGAAGCCCGGGACATCCTGGAGGGAATGGAGGGTAGACCGCCATTTGATTGGGGGTGCGCCCGTCGTGGTGAAGGCGAAAAGTAAGCGGCCAAGGTCGAGACCCGCGCAAGCCGCTTGGGCATTCTGTGGCATTATGTCATGTTGTTAGCGACCGCCCGAAGACTGTGGCGACTGCGCCATTTGTTTACCCTACCCCAAAGGCTGCGAGGGAAGCGGATAGCGATGACCTTCGGTTTTCTACCTACAGCGTAGAATGTCGGATCAAGGAGGTTAAATGGTACTCCCTATATGGCATTCGTGACTTAATAATCAAATCACAGGTTCGAGGATTGCGAAACCAGCTACATTCGTTTGGGGACTCTGTTGGGCCCTCCAAATCAGGCAGAACCTTTCGTCAGTGTTGCGTGGGCTAATGCGCCTGTCCAAAGTTCGGTCGAAACTTTTTCGTTTGAGTTCTGTATCTGTTACTGGTGAGGTGCGCGTTTCGCATTTACAAAATTAAGTGATTCGACGTCTCCGAATCTAGCAGTTATCCTCAAGAATATGCCAGAGAAAACGCGTGATGAGGGAAGCAAAGTAGAAAGCAGCTTCAGCAGATGCGAATCATTTCCGGGCACAGCGGGGTACTGCACAGTAGCTCTGCAGTGCCTGCACATCCATGGAGGGGCAAGGCAAAAGTACTCTCTACCCGGGACACGACAACATGTTGGCGGGGTTTGAACAAAAGGTAAAAAGGACGAAAAATAAGAAAAGAGAAGTAAAAAAAAATAAAAATAAAAATAAAAAAGCGAAGAAAGAAAAAGAAAGGATCATACTCTTTATATACACATATTTTTTATTGCCCACCTAAAAAAGGGCAGATTGAACAGTCCAACAAGAAGGGCAAAACAAACCAGAAATCCCGGGCTTCGCGGTGGAAAGACCGGGGGGGGGGTGAGTTGTGCAAACAAAATCTGTTGGCGACTTTGGTAGTGGGCATTGAACACCGTCGGCACAGCACTAGTGGGTTTCAAGTATTCTTGGTGTGCGACCTCAGGGGAGGGGCAAACGATGAAGCCTTGAGAGTTGAGTAGGCGCCTGGCGGGTGAGTAGGTCTAGCTAGTAGTAGGCCTTCTTGGGGGGGGGGAAGGGGGGAAGAGAATGTGGCCGGGACAGGCTGCAGTGCAACCGAGAGTTGGCCGGCGCTTAAAGGAGGAAGGGTCAAGGACTCAGCACCCTGCGGCTGCTGGGGGCGCTCAGAATCCTCCAGGAGACTCACGGGAGCCGTGAAGATTGCCAGCAGGTCAACAAGGCCTGAAGCACACTAGTGAGCTCCCCGTGCCCACTGTGCTAGGGCCCCTAAGCCTAAAACAGCGACTCAGCAGCCCTTCAGGCGTTCAGCGCCCATCAGCGCCCACTATTTAGTAGGGCCTATTTCCCCCTCTACCGCGACCCCGCTAGCGAAAATTTCTTTTCTCTTTTTCCTCGTGCTGAATCCCATTATTCACTCTCTTCCCTCTCTCCCCCTCTGTCTCCTTCTCACCAAAAGCAAAAATTATCCGAAGAGTCTCTTTCTCAGTGGAGTTTCACTGTCTCTTTAATCATGTCGCGCAAAGACGACACTGTCACCGTCAACATTGACGATTTCACTAGAACCCGCGATAGCGTAAGTCGCCCCCTTGTTTACTGTCCGCCGGTCGCGCCCGACTGGGGTGTCCGGCGCAGCGCTCAGGTCTTCTCCCCTGTGCATCACGCGTCCTACTACATAACAACGCCTGCTTTGTGGCTTAACTCTTCCCCCCCCCCCTTTTGGCTTCCTTACCCCCTCCTGGCAACTTACATTTCATGTGTGTAATTTACCATCAAACCAACCTGGGTCGCTCCAAATCTGGACATTACCTGTAACATCATCCCGTTTTTGCGCCACTGTTCTTGTTTGCCTTGACCCAAGTTCTTGCTCCCTACCCCTTCACAATGGCGAAACGCGCCTCGATCCCTGATCGGAGCCAGTCATCCTTGGACCTTATTACCTCTATTGCCCGTGCTACTAATTCCGTCAATACGGCCACCTCCGGCATCCGCGCGGTCGCTTCTTTCCCGCCTACCCAAGCTCAACTAACGTACGCGCAGGTGATCGTTAGTCTCGCGCAACTCCAGGCGGCTGTCTCCAAGCTGTCGGAGGCTTATATCAACCATGCGAACACCGTACTGAACCGCGGCCCGACGGTCGACATCGGGAACATCGCCAGCATCATCAACCCGCTCTATGAAAGCGGTTTGCTGGGCGCCCTCGGTGCTCGCGCTACTAGCCCTGGCGCAAAGTCCGAAGTGGGCGAGAAGAAGAAGCGCAAGCGCGCTCCCCCGGACCCCAATGCGCCCAAGCGCGCCTTGACCCCTTTCTTCCTTTACATGCAGCACAACCGCAGCAAGATCGCCGAGGAAATGGGCTCCGATGCCAAGCCGAAGGAGGTCTCGGACGAGGGTACCCGTCGCTGGGCCGTGATGCCCGAATCGGAGAAGGAGGTAAGTGTTCTCTTCCGCCGGCTCCCAACTCGTCGCAGCGCCATGACTAACTCGCACGGCGCGTAGCACTGGAAGAAAATTTATGCGGACAACCTCGCCGTCTACAAAGAGAAGATGAAGGCCTACAAAGAGAAGATGGAGGCCTACAAGGCTGGTCTTCCTTTCAGTGATGACGCGAAGGCCGCCAACCAACTGCAACAGGAGGCTGACCGTGCGGATGCCACCCCTGCTGAAGAGTCCGAAGAGGAGGAGGAAGAGGAGGAAGAGGAAGAGGAGGAGGAGCCCGAACCCGTCCGGGAGCCTACCCCACCACGCTCTGGTAAGCGTCGTCGCAGCGAGGCTGCTAAGGCTGCCAAGGAGGTCGCCTCTCCTGCGGAGACCAAGAAGGCATCGCCCGAGAAGAAGCGGACGCGCACTCCCGCCTCGAGGGAAAAGAAGGTGCAGGAGGAGACCCCCGCCTCGGCTCGCAAGTCGGCTGCGACAGAGAACAAGCGCGGCAAGAAGAAGCGCAAGAGTGAGGCTGTCGCGGAAGAGTAAAATGGTTCTGCGTCTGCATCTTTGGATATGGTCGTGGGGGTTTACTGGAGGGGACCGGTTGTACAGACATTCGGCGCATCTATGTTGATTTTTGGGGAATTGAACCGTACTCAGTGCTCCCTGTACCATACAGTGCGATTTGCAGCCGGATCACTGGTTCGGTGCTCTGGGGTCGGGGCAGTTTGGAGTCTTTTTTTTACAGTTATCTATTTTCAGGAGCTTCGGTTTGCTTTTAGGTCTAGCTTGCTCAAACGGGAAACGGATCTTTCAGATTGATCTTAGCGAAAGTTAAAAATGAAAGCAATGTGCATTTCTTTTCCTTGGGGGTTTGAGAGTTGCCAAATAAAAAAAACCGTGGAAGCGATACCGGAAACGGGGGGATGCCTAAGAATCCCTAAGATACCCGATGGCTGGCGCTTTCTGCACACGCGAACAATGCATAGCGTCGGCTACCCCAGACGTGCAGGGGTGAGGTTGCAGTAGGGTGCCGTCTGGGGCGGCTTTCCATGGAATGACTCGTGGTTATCGATCGGACGGCTAGCCGGCACGGTTCGTGCAGGATTGCTAGATTGCTATCGACCCAGTAGAAAGCAAAAAGAGTTGTTAGTCAAAGAGATGAATGAATGGTCCATTGGGCACGGCCAACCATAGGCCGAACGAAGCCCTTATCAGCAATGCCGGCAGCGTATCTCGGCGAAACCCCACATCAACATCCGGCCTTCGCCTCTGCCTTTGGCGCTTCATTTATAAAACCCGCCCCGGAATCCCTTCGTGCAGGTCGCCTCCGGTCTCTTTGCCCCTGAGAAGGTCGTCGTCGTGCGATATCACATCCCCAAGAGTTCGGTGCAAAGTCGACTGGCCATTGGTCGCGTGCATCCTCCTCCAGGTTTCCCCCCGGTCGCATCGGATCCATTCCTTTTTTTCGCCTTCTTTTTATTAATCTTTTCTGTTGTGTCATCCACTCCCTGTCCACTGATTGGCCCATCCAGTCCCGATCGCCTGCTGCTGGATATTTGACAGCGTCGGTGATTCGCAGGCCAAGAGACAACGATTGAGCTCCGCTTTGGAAACTACTGTCGGCGAAGATGCACCTCATTCCCAAGGAGGTACGTCCACTAAGCAGGGATCCTTCCGGGAGATCCAGATCTATAAATAATCTCCCATAGTACCGGTTTGATACTGACATCGGTGGCTGCGGTAGCTGGATAAACTTGCGATCTCGCAATTGGGCTTTCTGGCCCAACGGCGTCTCGCACGTGGTGTACGACTGAATCATGCAGAAGCAGTGGTATGTGGATCGGCCATTCTCCGTTGCGTAGTATCTATGGAAGAGGACCAGCACTGACATCCCTCGGGTAGGCTTTAATATCCTCGAACATCCAGGAGCTCATCCGCGATGGCCTCTACTCCGTGGCCGACTTGATGTCCATCGGCAAGACCATGCTTGGTCGTCGTCATGTCTTACCGTCCGTGGTCTCCACCCTGATAGAACTGCAGGTCGAAGGCACGTTCCCGACCGGCACGTACCTCGTAACAGTCCACCACCCCATCAGTAGCGACGAAGGAGACTTGGAGAAGGCACTATACGGGAGCTTCCTTCCGATCCCCCCAGCGGACGCGTTCCCGGACCCGGACCCGAACGACTTTGAGCACGAAAGGATGCCCGGTGCCATCATCCCCGTGAAGAACGAGCGCATTACGCTGAACGAGGGACGACGGAGAATCAAGCTCAAGGTGATGAGCAAGGGCGATCGGCCTATTCAGGTGAGTGCATTCCGGCCCCGTTGAATTGTACGGTACTCATATGATGAACTTGTAGGTTGGGTCCCACTATCATTTTATCGAAGTGAACCCGCAGTTGCATTTTGATCGTGTTCGCGCGTATGGTTATCGCCTAGACATTCCTGCGGGAACATCGGTACGATTCGAACCTGGAGACACTAAGACTGTGACGCTTGTGGAAATTGCGGGCCATCAGATTATCAAGGGAGGTAATTTCATTGCCTCGGGCAAGGTCGATTTGAGCAGAGTGGACGAGATCATGCTGCGTCTGCAAGCGGACGGTTTCGCTCATATTGCCGAACCCACTGCGGATGCCGCCCTCGTTACCCCGTTCACGATGGACCGAGAGGCCTACGCTCGAATGTTCGGCCCTACTACTGGTGACCTGGTTCGTTTGGGATTGACCAACTTGTGGGTCAAGGTTGAAAAAGATTATACGTCTTACGGTGATGAGTGCAGTTTTGGCGGAGGCAAGACTATCCGAGATGGAATGGGTCAATCGTCGGACAAGTCCCATCAACACTGTTTGGACACGGTTATCACGAACGCGCTGATTATCGACTGGAGCGGTATCTACAAGGCCGATATTGGAATCAAAAACGGTATCATCGTCGCCATTGGCAAGGCTGGAAATCCCGATATCATGGACGGTGTACACCCGGAAATGGTCGTGGGCTCCTCGACGGACGTGGTCGCTGGTGAGAACAAGATTATCACCGCTGGAGGATTTGATACGCATATTCATTTCATCTGTCCTCAGCAGGTGGATGAAGCGTTGGCTTCCGGAGTCACTACATTCTTGGGTGGAGGAACCGGCCCTTCGACAGGTTCGAACGCGACCACTTGCACCCCGGGACCCACGCATATGCGCCAAATGATCCAGGCTTGCGACCATCTCCCCATCAACGTAGGTATTACCGGCAAAGGAAACGACTGTGGTGGAACCAGCATTGAGGAACAAATCTTGGCGGGAGCCGCGGGACTGAAGCTCCATGAAGACTGGGGCTCCACTCCTGCAGCCATTGATACCTGCCTGGATATGTGCGACAAGTACGACGTGCAGTGCATGATTCACACCGACACTCTGAATGAGTCTGGTTTCGTGGAGCAAACCATTGAAGCCTTCAAGAACCGCACGATTCACACCTATCACACGGAAGGAGCCGGCGGTGGCCATGCCCCTGATATCATCTCCGTCGTGGAGCACCCGAACGTCCTTCCCAGTAGCACCAACCCCACCCGTCCGTTCACGATGAACACCCTGGATGAACATCTGGACATGCTGATGGTGTGCCATCACTTGTCCAAGAACATCGCCGAGGACGTTGCGTTCGCCGAGAGTCGTATCCGTGCTGAGACCATCGCCGCCGAAGATGTCCTCCACGACCTTGGCGCTATCAGCATGATGTCCTCGGACTCGCAGGCAATGGGCCGCTGTGGCGAAGTGATCCTGCGGACCTGGAACACGGCGCATAAGAACAAAGAGCAGCGCGGCCCGCTGAAGGAGGATGAAGGCACAGGCGCCGACAACTTCCGCGTCAAGAGGTACATCAGCAAGTACACCATCAACCCAGCCATCGCCCAGGGCATGTCCCACATGATTGGCAGCGTGGAGGTCGGCAAGATTGCCGATTTAGTTATCTGGCACCCTAGTTCTTTCGGTACCAAGCCGACTCAAATCATGAAGAGCGGAATGATTGTGGCTGCACAGATGGTATGCATAAATTTATTTCCCTCAACATGACACAAGACACTAACATGCTATTCAGGGTGATCCAAACGGCTCCATCCCCACCATCGAACCGATCATCATGCGTCCCATGTTCGGAGTAAGTCCCCTCTCGGATCCTTCCAAGAAAACCCCCCCTTTTAACATGATATCCCAGGCCTACGTCCCCAGCACCTCAATCATGTTCGTCTCCCAAGCCTCCATCGACGCCGGCATTGTCCAAACCTACGGAATCAAGAAGCGTATCGAAGCCGTCAAGAACTGCCGCAACATCGGCAAAGCCGACATGAAATACAACGACACCATGCCCAAGATGCACGTCGACGCGGAAAGCTACGCCGTCGAGGCCGACGGTGTTCTGTGCGACGCCCATCCCGCCGTAAGCCTACCACTTACGCAAGACTTCTTCGTTTACTAGAACGATGATAAAAAAAATTCTCTCTCTCTCTCTCTCTCTCTCTCGTTTTTAACTTTTGTATTCCCGTTTCTGGTTGTCTTGAGATACCTAGCCTGTATGCGTGCGCGTGCTTTGGCACATTTCCTTTCTTAACTTTCTTGTTATATAGACTAGGGTATAGGTTGGTTTCTTTTGCATCTCGGCAGATGTGTGCATATGAGCATGTGTTATGAATGTGTGTAATGATTGATATCCATCTTTCTTTTTAATAATTAATTACTCCGTGTTTCCTCTTATAAATATGTGTATTTCAGTATATAGGGTAATAACCCCCCCCGGGACTTTTGTTTAGTCCATGGGGTCGCAATCACAGCTCGATCTCCTCTTTGGTGTGATTGTCCCCCACCGAGACAAGCCCCATCGACGCCCAGGCCTCGTAACTATCCGCTTTAGCAGCTAGATACGCGGCTCTCCGTATCCGGGACGAGCTGTTGCTTCTCTTTAGGGCATTGGCCGTCTGGGCATCTGCTGATAAAGACGCCGTAGTCTGAACCAATAGTTGTTCTCGAGTTTCGATATGCTCATCAACTGCACCATCAAAACCCATCTCACTGGCTGGCTCCAAGGGCTGTTCTTGGGATGCAAAGGCAGAAGAGGAGATGGAGAGTGAAGAGCTGAATTGGCTTTCTGGCTCTGGTTCTTGTTCTCTAATATCGTTGTCCGTGATACCAACGTCGATTTCTGTGTCGAGGTCACTGTCAGATTGTTCATCGACGTGATGTGATGTCTCTCCAATTGCAGTCGTCTTCCCCTGATAGTCGGGTTCCTTGTCTTCTTCGGTGGACCATGAAGAGGGGAGAGACCCAAGGTGGAATGGTGTTTGGTCCGAGCGAACGTTGTTTAGGAAGTGCCATGCTTGGCGGATCTCGCTTCGTCTGGCTTTTTCTGTTGCTCGGGTTGATTCTGGGGTGGGGCGTGGTGCTTGGTTGTTGTCTTGGATGGCCTCTAGGGATGATGGTATGGGGATGCAGTCTGAGGATGAATATGAGGATGAGAGTATGTTTGGTTTTGTAGTGTGGGTTTTGTAGGGTCTTGGTTGCGGCTGTGTTTCCACTTGTGAGCTTGTTGTGTCTGGTTGGGAATTGGTGCGATTTGGGGCTCCTCTATCTAAGCTTGTATCGTCGCCGGGGTTGCTGGTAGAAACATCCACTGGGGTTCTGGCCATGCTGTCGAGTTTACTGGATAGCTGGCTCGATTGTGATGTGGGCTCTTCGTAGCGAGCTCGTTTCCTTGAGCAGAGGTCTTCGTCGTTCTCCAGCATGTCTCGCATATGATGGTCGTGGGTGAATTCTGTTCCTGAGCACAGATGGCCGAAGAGACTTTGAATGGAGACGTCCTCGTCCCACGTTAGAGGATCCACTGTACAGGGGTATATGTCTTTTGGCTTGAATGCGGAGACCAGCTCGCATAATTCTGCGTAGGATGAGTGGCGCGAATATGGAAAGTGCTACTAGATGTCAGAGCGTATCCGACTCAGTTTATGCAACCCCACTTACAATAACTGTTGGAGGTGAATTTCCTAATGTATCATGTCGGCATGTTGATCCTTGGTTGTTATTGGACCAGTTTTTGCCATGGAAACGGCGTCGACTGAGGATGTTCACTAGGTTTTCCAGGGGTATGTCATGATCATCTTTCATCTCATAACTATCAAGCTGGAGTGCTTTGCTTTTGGACCTGAAGGCCTCGATAATCGCCTCTCGGGTCTCCAAGAGTGTTTGAGAATCATGGATCCTTTCGAGACAAAGTTTCTCTAGCTGCTCTAATGCCAACTCGTTCGGGATCTCGAGCTCATGAATCTGATACAGGTCGCCACCTCCGCCTCCAGCTCCAATTTCGGGTATTTCCGAACCGTCATTCGTTCGACTAACTATCGGGATTATATAAACCGGTTTCTTTGAAGAAATCACCGAACATTGTACGCCTGGCTCACAGCTGTGGATGCGGCATTCTTCGTCTTCGCTTAGACAGCCAGGAACAAATCTATTGCCGAGCTCAAAGCCACAAAGAGCAGATGCTTCGCTGGTCCCCTTCTGAGCGGAAACGAGTGATCTATACAGACCCATTTGGTACCGATCCACATGGACCTGTTTCATCAGCCTAAGAATGACAGTAATGGGGACATATCGTATGTATACCTTTGAGTTGAGAGCAGCAGAAAGTGCCATCCAGACTTCCTCGTATCCGAAAGTCCATGCTCGGAAGTAAAATGTAGTGTCCTCTGGGTATGATGCCACTTTCTGCAGAAGCTCCGCCAATCCTTTTGCCTTGGATGGGAATGTACGGTATATGGACGAGTGGCGAGCAAACGTACTGTCGAGATAGATTTTATCCAATCGCTTACCACTCAGAGTGTATGGAATGAGAACTGGATGCCGGATAAGGCTGTTTACCCACCAAGATTCCGCTGTTGTTTGTCAGAGCTACGGGTCATCGAGTGGGTTGCTTTTTGAGGATACATACCGCGAATGTCGCCGGTGTAGAGAATGGATTTTCCACTACCTTCGATGAGAAACATCACCGCCCCTGTACAATGATTGGCGTCTAGTAGGGTAACTCGGATGGATAGCCGAGGGGTAAGTTCGATCATCGTCGGCGTGTTTAGCGGAATCGGTCGCTATGTGGTATTAGGAGGGAGAAGAAAGTATCATGGGGAGACAAGTCACCAAAAGTTTGGACAGATGTTTGTAATGCAGCCTCCGGGATTCAAGGATGCCTTTGCTGAAATTCATACGGTGGGGATATTTCTCGATGTGTAAGAGTAGCTATGAACAAAGTTAGTATCTGATATGTTCGTGAGGAGGACAATGACGGATAAATACCTCTCTAGTTGCTACCGAACAGTAGATGAATGGAGCTCGGAAGGACTCCAAGCCCTGGAGATGATCACTGTGGACATGGCTGAGAAAGCCTGCCAGTGGAGGAGGCCTATCTGGGTTTTTGCGAAAGTAATCGACTTTGTCCCTTAGTAGCTATGACTTTTGACAATGTGTCTTATTATTGCTCACTCTGAATATAAGGGAATTCTATCCGATTATTAGATTCTATGAATCTTAAGTATTTGATCATTGATACGTACCATGGACGATCCCGTCAAAGGTCGACATTGGGGAATACTACAGCTGAATGAGTATATAAGCTCATTATAGTGATCGAAGTTGGTACCTTCTGTGTGGATGATTATACCAGGTACTAGTAGTACGGAGTAGTTCGCGAAAAACATCCGATAAGAAAACAGATCCGATAAGGTTGCCTTTTATCCTGAGGTGTCGAAGGCGGAGTGAGATTGGAGTATAACCGCAAGTGCGGGATATCTCCAAATTCCCCCAATGGAGGAATGGATGTCGTAGACCGATTCTTGAGGAAATCTTACCGCTTCTTCATGCTTCATAGCGAGCCAATGAGGGTGTAGAAAATAAGATTATTTTTTATAATTTGCTAAGTTATCTCTTCTGCTTCGTTTTCTAATGGGTCATGTTCGTTCATCTCCGCTAATCGAAGCGGTGGACTTTAGTGATGACAACATTTTTCTCTGACAGCTTTGGAATAGCTGCAACAACTACCAAGACGGTACTCCTTGTCCAGACTCTAGACCTTCTATCAATAGCCCTGTCGCCTCTTTGCCCCGTTAAGACTCCTCCATTCAAGTACCTACATGGGCCCCTGCCTGAGACCTAGACCACCGGGGTCGGATCATCGACCAAGTGGCCTTGCAGGCGGCCAGCGCGAGGCGAGAGTGGGTGAGAGACCCGCTCGCCAACGCAGTCTTGCTCAGGGCTTTTTTGGATGGAGAAGCATGATTCTGTTGTCCCGGAATTAAAGTTAGCTAACTCACTCACAGTCACTAGTCAAGAATACTCCACGCAGTTGTTCCTTATGCGCTGTTCCATGCATGCATGACGGTGTTGTCAGCAGACATCATGATTGTTCATTTTCAGATGAAAACTCTCATATATAATAGACATCTCGCTCCGGTTTTGGTTTCTTTTTCTTCTAATTTGTTCCTCCACAGTTTCAACTACTACTATTGTAATTCATAATTTCCAATCACCCGTCCGTCGACTGCATTGATTGACATCCTCCTCTGTCGAGTCCCGCCATGGGTATTTCTGTCTTTTAGTTCAGGAGGCGGAAAGTTTGTTAGCTTTGGGTCACCACAAGTGCCTGAGGCCAAAGCTTCTTGGAGAAGTTTCACCTTATCCTGTCCAGGGGCTACGAAGGTCCTTTCATTTGTGAAGAAAAAATTAATAAAAATAAGACAAAAAAAAAAAAAAAAAAAAAAAAAAAAAAAAAAAAAAAAAAAAAAAAAAAAAAAAAAAAGAAAGAAAGAAAGAAAGAAAGAGGAAAGGAAAGACGGCTACCGACAGATACCATACCTCTAAGACATTCATCGTCCCACCTCGAAGTTTCCCATCCGATAACCATTGCCATCACCCAATCTATAGGCAAGAAGTGAACTATTGACACATCACCCACCGCTACTGCATGGTTGTATGCGTTGGACGGACGCTCATTGACTTCTCTGCTTGCTCATTGGAAGATCCCGGATTTGTTGTTTCTGATTGAGGTTCTCCTGGCGGCGTGAATCAGCCAACTGAAACTCTAGTGAGATCTGGTATTCTAGATCGCTATTTGCCCATCATTTTCCTACTATTGAATTGGCGATCCCCATCTCGCTCCCTTCCGCAAACAAGGCAGTTGGAATTTGCGATTTCCCTTGCCCTTCCCGTTTCGACGTATTCCTTTTCTCCTAAATATAGCAGGCGGTTTTAAGCCCTGCCTACTAGGACTTTTTCTCTTTTTCCTGTTTATTTTCCTGGGGAAATTACCAACCCTTGAAGTCGTGTGTCTTAGCCGATCCCCTGTCTTTACCCCAACTTGACTCCTATCGGGCATTTGATACGGTACAATTGGCAATCACCAACTACTTCTGTCGCATACTCTTCATACGCATCATCGTCCAGTTTGACGTCCCTTCACCATGCACAAACCTTCTTTGGCTCAGATTGTGCACCATGCCACCTTTCCGCGCCCGCGCACGAGCGATCCAGCGACATTCTCAGCTCATATCACGCGTAACCTCGTTCCCGAAGTTCGGATCGAAACGTCGACGTTCTATGGATCGCTAGACACCGTTGAAGCTCAATATCCTGGCCTTGATTATTCGTATGGCCCGCATCGCATGAGGCTCAGTCGGTTCCCTTGGCATCGCCGGCTTTTTAGAGTCTTCGACGAGCTCGGTTTATCGGAAGCCGAGATATCCTCGCTGTGTCGCTGGGAAGGTACCAAGTCGGCACGGGAACGGTATGAGAAAGAAGAAGGTGTCAAGGTACAAGATACGACGGCCAATGGTGTCCGACCAGCGTCGCCATCCCCGCTGCCTTCTGTCGAGGTTCATTTCGAAGATGGTCCAGAACGGGTGAGAGAACCAGAGGTCAAGGCTGAAGTGCGCGAGCACTTCGTTCCTGTGACTGACACCATTGATGACCGCGGTGTCGACTGTGATGTGCCTCCGAAGGTTGAAGAAGACTCGAGCGACGAGGAAATGGAAAGCTGTGGCGTGGAACTGAATCATCGTCTTCTCGCAGCAAGTGCCGCCCGCGAACGAGGCGCCAATGTCCCGCTCGACGAGGACTGGGAGCAATGGTTGAAGGAAGCTGGTGAGCGGGGAAGTTACGCCGACGTAATCAATGCGATCCGAAGAGGCCAACCGTTGGATTTCTTGTATGACATGCCGTACCTTAGTAGTAGGACAGGCGCTAGACGATCCGTATCGCTCTCGGAACGCATCATTCTTCCACCAACGTCCAGCTTGCTCGCGGCGAGCACTTCTATTCGACGCCCTCCTCATTCTCCATCAGGAACGGCACGATAAGACCCATCCGAGTGATGCTCGGTTCGATTTCTTTCTTTGCGTATCCTTGCAGTTTCTCAAGTTTTAGCAGGCAGGCATGTTTGTTTTCCATCTAGGTGCATTTATGGCGCATCAGCGGCGGTTTCTTCTCTCTTTTCTCCATCTATACGGGGCATAATACTCTGTTCGATCGTTACTGTGGACCGCGATTAGGCTTCTTTCTCTCACTTTTCCCGACCGCTGATTGTTATAGATTTCCTTGCGTTTAGCCCTCCCGTCGAATCCTCTAATACCCCTCCTGTCTTATGTCGTATCTCGTTGCAGCATTGCATAAAATGGCCATTGGTGTTTTTGTCGTCCAGAAAGTGACTTCGCCGCGATACATTCATGAAATCCGTAGTTGTGCCTTCAAAAGTCTGTTGCGTACTATCTTCTTTTGGTCATTTAGTCTCGTCATGAACGGTCTCTTGGCTGATAACAACAATCGAAAGGCCCCTCCCCAGTTTAATCTTCACTCGGAAACTACTCCGGTACGATATATATAACTACCCTCTTCTGGGATGACTGAATAACAGGGCATGGTTCCTTGGGTGACAGCTGCCAGGCACATGGAGACTGGCGATCGACTCCACTGATGTGTATATACTAAAATGTCACCTATTTCCTAGTATAGGAATAATGACTGGCCAATGAAGGTGGTTATTGTGTCGTTATGTCTCTTTATTACACACGTAGATCTAGGTCACACGAGGAATTCCCCCCGTAATAGTAGTATAAATCTAGATTGCCCGTGATACAATGAGTGCTATCTTTGTCACGGGGCATTGGAGCTTCAAAGTCTCCACTTCTTGGTACTGCGGTAGAGCTCCCCGCAATCTTCCCTCTCCACTTACTTCTCACCGCAAACACCCCCCCAATTTTTTGCGCCGATAACAGAGAATGTGCTTATGCTACGATGCAATTAGACTCTTAAGATGATGTTCTCTAGCTTACTATAGCACTTGTGACCACCCTTCCCGACACTCGTCTCCCTACAACCACCATGATCAAAGCGATCTTCTACAGCAAGTTCGACACCCAGGAGGGTAAGTCAATCATTCAAGCTCACTAGGCTTTCCAACAAGGCAGTCAGTTAACTAACACAATATTCAGGGCCTAAGGTCGTCCACCAAGTCCCCGATGGCGCAATAGTTCCCTCCTCAACCGCTCCGTCGCAACCCCTCTTCCTGACTTTTTCCGACATCTCCTTCTTCGTGATCCCCCGTCAGGAGCTATGCGGAAACTTGATGCAGGTTTGCACGAATGGGTACCGGATACTTGGCTACCCGATTTGCATGAAATCCCTGCGCTATGATCGCAACGAATTCATCTTTAATTTTTGCATCGTGCTCGCGGAGGAAGAAGATTTTAGCACGTACAAGAGCGTGGTCCAGAAACTTGCGGACCTGATGCATGGGCTAGAGGAGCAAGGCCAATTTCTTTCCAGGGATCATTCAAAAAGCGGCGAGGGGAAGGTTTATAGCTTGTGTGAGACATTGATGGAGGATCTCAATAACTATTGCGAATGCATGATTCCCATCGGTACGCAACTTGCTACAAACAGAGCGGGAGGGGATGAAAGGAGGTCAATTGCTGACGTGAATGATACAGACGAACTAAACACCTTGAATATCAAGTTATTTCCTATCTATCCCTCTCCTCCGTCCGTCAAAGCCTGGCACGTTCCCTTGTTCACTGTTCGGTACCAAACCTTCATGGATGAGAACTGGGATCTTACAATGCAACGAGTATGCTTCCTATAACATTGAGGGCTCTGGCACAGTTTTGACAGGATACAGATCGTCCCTCACATCAATGGAGTCAACAGCATCCGCATAATCTCCATCCTTGCCGACACAGACTTCTCTCTCACCTGCCGCGCAATCCGGCACTTGCTCTACTACAATTGTCTCTTCCTCCTCGACATCTTTTCTTTCTCTGCAATATACGCTCCTACAGCTCAATTCAGCTCTATGATTGCCTCAAACGAGGACATGCAGCGAGAATGCGCACGCTATGTCAACACTCTCTTCGCATCACCTGCTGCCGCGTCAACCTTTACGAATCCTACCCGAAGCTACGACCCGGACGCCGTATGGCCGCCCCTCGGTGAAATCGTCACAGGCACTAACACTAGCGTCGATATAGCGAGCAGCAATGGCAGTATTAGCCCCAGGAGCTCTAGTCCGGCCCCTGCCATCACAGCGCCAGGAAGCACAATAGCGACACTAGAGGACCAACAGGAGAGAGAAGTAGTCGACGGAGTGGGACTGGTCGAGCTTTACGCCAGCCTCAAACAAGGCCAAAGCGTCAAGCAATGGTATATGCACTATAGCCGACAACTAGCCAACATCGACATTCGTCGCTTCATCACGTTTGGCATCATCAAAGGGTTCCTATACCGTGTACACAAGTACGCCTACGCGACAGGTTTCCCCGCTCCACCCTCGAAATATCACCATCACCACCACCATTATCACACTCACAGCGGTCCATCATCTAGGGGCCCCGGAACAGGGACCAATAGTCCCTATGCATCAAGTGTAGGCGATGACTCGGCGCCCATCGCCGCGCACCAGCATGATGGACCTTCGAATTCCGTACACAGCGGGAGTCGTCCTGGGACGGTGATCGAAGATGAGGACGACGAGGACTACATCGACGATAAGACTTTATCCAAATATCTCGATGGGATGCACTGCTTTGATCAAATATGTACTGAACTGGAAATCAGCGAAAAGGAATTTACCGCTAGGTTGAAGCGGTATCCCGGGGAGGTTTTAATCATACACCGATGACCTTCTCTCGGTTCAACCTATCTCTTTCTTTACTAGGATTTAATGATACCCAATAAATGAACGCATTAGATGGAAGAACATATTTGAAATTTGACTCTTCGTTATTATTGAGTACTTCGGCGATGATCATGTACCCTCCTTCTAATATAAACCCCAACGCCAAACACGTAAAGCCCCCATAATTGACGCTCAAATCAAACCAACGACTTCAATAACACTCAATCCCCGGTATGGACCAACGTGTAAGGCGAACGTAACCGGGGTTGAAAGGGCAGTAGAAATGTACATAGAAAGTAGAAAAATAAACCATCGTAGGTAAAGTTGCATGCGGAGCGAGAAGAAAATAGATCACTCCTGCTCCTCATCCCAACCTTCAACTTCTGCCTTCTCATACTCAGCCATGAGCGACGGGTCAAAGACCGACTCGTTGTTCCTCGGCACAGAAGTCTTGCAATCTTTGAAAATCGGTCCGATACAGTCACGCCAGCGCTTGCGTCGGTCCATGAGAGTGCGAGCGACGTCCCCGATAGCGGGACGACCCACACCAGCGGCACTGACAACGTGGCTGCCGCCGCCAGCTCCGCCTGGCCTGTGCTTGGCCTGGGAACCCTTCTTGCTCTTCCCTAATGTCCGGGTCCGCTTGAGATAGGCCTGTTGTACCTGCGAGTCGAGATCGTCGTGGATGGTCATGTACTCCTGGTACGCCATGCGTTCACGGGCGATTTCTAGTAGTCTTGCTTTTCGGGCGCTGTTGACAATCATTTGCTTCTTTAGTTCGCTTTGTAGGAGACGTAGTCGCTGAGCGATGTCGTCGTCATAATGGGCGTCGTAATCGGGATTGTCCTCGGCACCTAGGAACCCTACGTGACGGAGTTCTGCTTTGAGGCGCTCATCGAGTTGGGCGTGGTCTAGCTTCGCAGCGGGCACTTTGAAGCCGCTTGGGGATGCATCGGGGAACGATGTCGCGGAAGGTTGAGGTTTGCTTTCTGAGTCTCCTCCAATTGGGTGATCGAGGTCCATTGCGTCGCCGAGTGAAGAACCGTTCGGTAATTCCCCGTTGACTGTACCGTTGGTGCCAGGGTTTTCGTCGGGAGCGCGGTGTTCGTATCGTAGTAAAGAATAGAGACGGCTAACTAATGGACCAACTGAGACCTTGTCCGTTTCCATAGTTTCGTCTGTCACCTGGTCAATGTTCCCACGTCCCTGGTTCAAGGGCAGACGCTCCTTGTTGCCGTTCTGGTCAACATTCATCAGCCCATCCTCCTCGGCCCAGATCTCATTGTAGTGCCTCTTTCCACGTCGGGGCATGATGAACGGTGTCGCTCGATCGCCCTGTGCGAGTTAGCTACGAGGCGCACTAGGCATCAACTAAGGAAACCAACCTTCTCTTTGAGGAAAGCAATGTCTTCCTCCATCAACGGGCGGACATATGGTTCGACGTACGCGAGGAATGTATTCGCGCTAACCTGGTTTGTAGGCTTGGAGTTGCTATAGTCTTTATCTGGGGCTACTCCAGCCATCATATGGCTTAAGTCGCTGGCCGGGAAGCGAGTGACGCTGTAAATTTCTTTCCTTTCGTCATCGGTCATCTCAGGAGTGACATCACGTATATGGTATATGGTCGGATCGTCGAATTTCACGGGATTTGGACCGAAAACTTGGATTTGCGGCACAGCTGGAGCCGGTTCAGGCTGATGCGAGTCTGAGCTATCGTCCGACATGGGCGATCCAGGAGCTTCAGCTTCTGTGTCAGCCTTTACTTTGGGGGAATTGGGTTCCGGCGGCGACAGTGACGATGTACTCTTCGACTTTTTAGATACAGGCGATGCAGCTAAAGCAATTAAATATTAGCCTGCGACTGCAACATAGCAGCGCCGCAAATCCGAAGGGAGTCGGCTTATGAGTGACGGGGCTGGACTGCGGTTCAGGTGAATGTGAGGAGTGCCAACTTACCACCCTCCACTTTGGTTTCCGCACCATCTTGTCGAGAAAGTTCATGAGCGCCATGAGCTAATGGGCGATCTTCCCTTGAACTGCTACCCCGTTCTTTGCGCTTCTTTAATTTCCCTCCCTTGGGCGCTTTCGATTCCTCCTCTTCATCATCTGCCTCGCGCTTCATTTTCGGGCGGTCGCCGTCGTGCTCGGACTCTTCCACTACCTCTTTCCGCTTTTGAGACAGCTCTCTGATGCCAGCATCGCATGCATCGCTACGAGTTTCTGCCAGCTGACTGAGTGTCTTCAGATGCTCCATCAATGTCTCCAGCGATTTCGAATCGGGGATAGGACCGACACCACCCATCCGATCCAATATCTCTCCATATTGCGCGGTAACTGGAACGAGCAGTTTCGATACATCATTGTCGAGGTAGCTGGATACAGGGGCGGTGGTCGGGGCACTAAAACTCGAGTTGGGTGTGGTGTTTCGGCTTCGAGAGGGGCGCGCTTCACGGCCTTTGCCTTTTCCTTTGCTTGCGGAGGGCATGATGTGATGATGGCCCGAAAGAGTGTTTAAACTTGAGGAGCGGGTTGTGGAGCTCTATGTTTGTTTTGGATGGCTTTAATATCCCATATCATTCGATTTCCGGGCAGGGGTTGACGTATCATTCGTTCGGTTTACGGGGCTTTATGGAGTGCGCTTCGATCACTGGTTGCAGTTCATCAATATAAGCCCTGCAATAGGCTCTGGCCGTGTTCTCTTCTGTACTCCATCATTATCGGGATATCACGATGTTTCCCCAGACTTGGCACGTGAGGTCACATGTAACCACGTGATTCTATAATCGATGATGATCAGCGATTGCCAAATATAGTAAGCGATTGGCAAGTGGAGAACCTTCGTTTGAAGTAAACTGAGATTCTACTATTTATCGACCCAAGCTGCCAGGATCACCAAGAGTTGGCCAGTGTTACACCTATGGGCATCATGGCTAGACGTTTAATAACCCCTCCTGCAAATCAAAGCCACAAATAATGCAATATAGGTGGCTTTGCTCGCCCTATGCCGCTCGCTAGGGATGCACATACATACATGGATGGAAAGCCGCATTCTTATCTATTATCTAGTTTACGAGATAGGCTTCTTCACTCGTCAACATTCCAGGTGGCAAAGTGCATTGCTTCCATTTTACTTGTCTCGTTTCCTGTGCCTTTTTGTTGTGGGTATGGAAATGGCTCGTCACACTGACGGCGGAGATATCCGAAAACGTCATGCAGTCGAACTGCGAACGGCAACCCGAAGCCAGCGGCATGGAGAAAAGACTGAATTCAACGGGATTCCAAGGGATGTATACAACCACTATACAGGAATAGGGAGAAAATTTTTCGCCTCACCGCAACCACTTTTGAGGAGTGTCGGCAGTCGAAGCGACCATCACGGCCAACCATGCGACCTGTCAAACATTCCGCTTGAAACCATCGAATTCAATCCTTACATTCTTCCTGATTTAGGTGCAATACTTTAGATTCTGTCTCGACCGCGCAATTTAATGAAGATGTTTTGTTCGTTTTATCTCTAAGCCCCGGTTTTCCTGTTGTAAGACTGTTCTTGTTGTTTCGCCATGTGTATGGTCCATATGATTGTTCCTGCCGAAAAAGCTGTGCCACTGTCTTCGACTCTGTTGATTGGAACCGATTCCACCTTTCACAGTATATGCGAGAAACAAAATACCAACAATGTCTCCACCTGCTGCGGCGAAGTCTCTCACCACGGCCGCCACACTCTTTCCAGGTCCAGGGAGAGCGACGAACACTACTCCATCGGCCAACGTACGTCTCAAGGGACTCCACCTATTGTATGAAGGGAAATTCTTACACTGAAGGACAGGACAGCGCAAGCTTCCGCTTCGTAGTGGATGGTACGGTTCAGACACTGTCCTCCCAGAATACTACAGGAAATGCCCCAATACGAGGACTCCTGTTCGTTCCTAGTCTGGATGTTGAGGATTCGTGCAACAATCTCACCGCTCCATTGATACCTGCCCATGTCACCCGCCATCCCGACGTTGATAGATTCAGGTTTCAGACCATTGGCCTTGCGCCGTGGGTGAACACTGAATGTGCTGAGTCGTTCATTGACGCCTCGCAGCGTGTGGGTTCCGATGCGCTGGTCTTCTTCTTGCCTGGGAGCAATAATACCAAACCACCGCCAGCTGAAGATCCGACGTGGTCATTTAAAGACGGTGGGGATTGGAAGAACCGAAACATCCTCCCCGTATATGCGATCCCTGGTCCGGCGGGTGTGACTCTCATGAATCAGCTGGCGTGGTACTGGGGGAACACAAGCCATGCGTACAGTGGTCACAATGCCTCCGCATCTGTGACAGGTCGGTCTGACATACGGCTGCTTGGCCTTATTGATTTCGGTAAGACTAAGTATTGCAGTTATCCATCCGTGACGGATGCTAACAAGTGGTCTATAGAGAGGGATCAAGGTAAAATGCCCAGTCTCTGGGGGTTCATTCTTGCTATTCTAGGGACAATCTTGGTTCTCAGCATGATTGTTCTGCTCTGCTATCAATTAGTACAGAAGAGGCGTCGGGAGAGGCTGCAACGGAGGATTGAATCTGGAGAGGCAGATATGGAGATGCTGGGTCTGCACCTCATGAAAGTCCCACAGGAGATCTTGGATACACTGCCAATATACACATATCCGGACTGGAGCGCATTGGGTGACACCCCTGAGTCCAACGACAAGAGTTCCGTACAGTCCAAGGAAGTCCAAGAATGCATGGAGGAAAAGGAGAAAACAGACACAAACCCCGACGCCATCACAGCAGACGAAGTACAGAATGACAAGAAAGAAAGCCAAGAGAAAAAGGAGCCAGGAGACGAACGATTGTCGGGCGATGCCGACAACTCCCCCAGCACGCCGTCCCCTTCTCAGTCTCAGTCCTCAATCAGCTGTGCCAAAGGCCGCCCGCCCAAACTTAAGAGACTGAGCCACTCGCAAACCACATGTGCCATCTGTCTCGAGGACTTCGTCCCCCATGAGTCTACTGTCCGCGAACTCACCTGCAGTCATATCTTCCATGTCGAGTGCATCGATGCCTCCCTGACACGGAATAGCTGTCTATGTCCGATGTGTAAGAAGAGTGTTTTGCCGCCAGGGTACTACCCGGTGCCTATCACCAATAGGATAGTCCATCGCGATTTCATGATGCGGAGGGCGAATTCAGATTGAGTTGGGTTTTGCTCAGGAGTTGGTTTAGGTGGCTGTATTTGATGGATATATTATGATACCCTGCATGCTTGGCTGTTTGTTTTTGGTATAGGTCATATCATATAATACATAGATCTTCAGATGTTGACTTTGGGTCTTGATGGTTTTTATCTTTTCATCACGCATTCTTGTATTGGTAGAACGAAAGATGGCATTCAACTCAGAGAAAGATCCAGGCTATTCTTTATTGTGCTACAGGCGATAAACATCATCATCTTGTATTGAGCATATAGAACAGTTCAACATAGTCAACCGAGAGTAAAGATGTGCTTTGTATGAGCTGCCAGTTGAATAGAATACTCTCAAAAGATAACGATAATATCTCCATGAACTATCTAATCGACTAGACAGCTCAGTAATATTCAAGATATACATCGGATAAATGCACCTCTCCGTCGTCGTCTATGTACGTCACTCGACACGCTTATCGATAAGATAAAATAAATCTTCTCCACCACCAAAAAACGGCCTCACCTCCAACACCAACACCCCAAAACAACAACTACCAAAAAACGCCCCCTCCACCCTCAATTCCTCCTCCGTCTCCCTCCCAAACAACCCAAAAGAAACCCCAAAAAAGAAAATGGTAAAACCACTAACCTTCAAAGGCGACAAGCCCAAGAAGACCAAAAAGCGCAGCGCTCCCTACCCACCCAGCAAACCCACTCCCGGAACGAAACCCACGCAAGAAGAAACCGCCGAGCAAGAATCCACGGCCGAAGACCAGAGCTGGGTGTCGGCGGACGCGCCCTCGGACATCGCCGGCCCCGTCATCATCGTTCTCCCCTCAGACCCGCCGACCTGCATCGCCAGCGACGCCAATGGGAAGGTCTTCGCCAGCGAGATCGAGAATCTGATCGAGGGCGATCCGGGCACGGCGGAGCCGCATGATGTTCGGCAGGTTTGGGTTGCGACTAGGGTGGCTGGCACGGAGGGGATTAGTTTTAAGGGGCAGCATGGGAAGTATGTCTTTTTCTGGTCCTTTTTTCTTTCGTTTTGTTTGTTTTGGGGAGGGGGGTTTGTTGTTGTTGTTGTTTTACCCTCCATTCTGGGGCGGAATGAAGGAAGGTTGGCTAATGTCTGAGATTAGGTATTTGGGCTGCGACAATTATGGAATCCTGAGTGCCGCGTCATCGGCTATTTCGCACCAGGAGTCGTTTGTGGTTATTCCGTCCGAGGTGCCTGGGTCGTTTTGTCTGCAGACTGGTGGTGGTGATAAGGAGACGTTTGTCTCTGTGACGGAGGGGAAGTCGAGCAAGGCGGCGAGTGGGAGTGTGGTTGAGGTGCGGGGCGATGCGACGAGTCTCTCGTTCGAGACGACGATGAGGATTCGCATGCAGGCGCGGTTCAAACCGCGCATCAAGGCGAGTAAGGAGACGAAGGCGAAGGAGAAGATTAGCCGGAAGGAGCTGGAGGAGATTGTCGGGAGGAGACTGGATGATGACGAGGTCAGGAGGCTGAAGAAGGCGAGGAAGGAAGGGAATTTTCATGAGGAGGTGCTGGATGTTAGGGTTCGGGGGAAGCATGACAAGTTTGCTTGAGTTGGTTTTCTATACTCCCTTTTCTTTTTTTATGCTGTTGTTTCTTTGCTGGGTTGGGGGATTCTTTAGGGTTATGCATTGTATCATGTCAATAATTGAGCTTTTATTTGGGATGTCTATTGGGTTTGGTTTGTCTGTACTACTTATGCTTGCTACAATATATGGAGCTTTGTGTTCTTTCATGTACTATATAGGGTTGAGGTGGATAGTTCATATGTGAATGTGGCGATTGTGTACTCACCAATCGATGTGAAATCAGGCTCTAAGATAGAAATCAGATATCACTTGATTACTTCCGACGGCCAGACCCGGGCAAATAACGTCATGATAAGGTTAGGACCTTGGGGGTTGCCCTCAGGGTCCTCAACCACTACTATTTAAGATGGAAGGCCCCGTATATTCACATATAAACATTCATTACTCATCAATCGGTGGTATCTATATATACAAGAATCTAGTCAAAAGTGATAGCTGCCTTGATGGCAGACTTGTTCCTCATCGACTCCAAGCACTGTTCCCACTCCTCAAGTTTGAACACCTTGTTCACGATGCCCTTGACCTTCACCTTGCCAGAGTCAAGGTAGTCAATGGCGGCGGGGAACTTGTAGGTCTCGGAGAAACTTCCGATAATAGTGATCTCGTCGCCAACTGCCCCGAGTGTCAGTCGTTACACACCGCATGAGAGGAGGGACACTTACAGATCTTGCTGGGAGGCCAAGAAACGCGGGCCTCATTGTTGTACACGCCGTACACGACGAGCTTACCGCCGCGGCGGACATAGTTGATGGAGTCCTCCAGAATCTTGACACTGCCAGTGGCTTCCACGACAATGTCGAACCCGTAGGGGTTCTCCTTCTTCAGCTTCTCGAACTGTGCGCTAGGATCCTGACGCGACAGGGCGACATATTCATCACCAGCTTCGAGGGACTTGGCCAGGTCCAACTTCAGACCTTCGGGAGCGGCCACAACAACACGGCATCCACCGCACTGGCGGAGCAACTGAGCGAGGATCTGGTGGGTGTTAGAGAGACGCGGGACAATCTCCCGGACATAGGTCAACTTACAAGGCCGGTGGGACCAGCACCGAACAACAGGACGGAAGAGCCCATCTTCGGAGCGATCTTGTCCAGACCGTGAGCGGCGCACGAGGCGGGCTCGAGGAGGGTGGCATCGACGTCAGAGAGGTTCTTGATCTTGAATACCCTGCCAGCTACAGAGAGTCAGCAATGACATGGTAGTGGATCCCAGCATCTGCCACTACTTACCAGGGTAAGCGCAGTACTCGGCAAAACCGCCGTTCATGGTGACACCGTGGGCCTCGAAGTGTTCACAGAACAACTCATCTCCACGGCGGCAGTAGAAGCATTCACCACAGAGCTCCGAGTTGTCAGCGACGACCCGCTCGCCGACTTGGAAGCCCTTGACCTTGGGGCCAACAGCCGCGACGACACCAACAGTTTCGTGACCTGACCACACATATCAGTATGTTGTATACCCCGAGGGGACATGGCGACGTGGAGTCGTTGACATACCAGGAACCAAGGGGAACTAGCACAGGGTCAGCCCAGGCTCAATTGGTTGAATGTGGGACAGTTGGAATCATACCTTGGCAATGAATTGACCCTCGTGGATGTGCAGGTCAGTACCACAAACACCACAAGCCTTTACTTTGACCTATAGCAATCCGTCAGCAAACGGTTTGCACGGGCAGCCATAGGACTACCAAAAGAAACTGGCACATACCAAGACATCATTGTCACGGAGCTTGGGAAGGGGAACGTCAACAACAGCATGTTTCTCAGGCTGCTCATATCTGATATGGGACGTTAGCACTGACCAATTGGATGAGCAAGGATAGTAGGGGTCCGTCGTTACCTGAGAGCCTTCATAGACTGAGGAAGAGACATGGTGGATGGTTGTTGTTCTAAAGAAGGTCAGCAATTGTTTGTGGTGTGGCCTGAAGACGGCTGGCCGATTGATTGCCAAGGGAGGGGGGTCTTACAAGGATATTGGAAGAGGGAATCAGGCAAGGAAGGGCAGTCAGTATTCAGGATAAGGATACGATGATGGATTGATTGACTGAAGGTGAGAAGGAAGAATGGAAAAGCGAGAGAAGAGCAAGCGAGGGAGGAGGAGATATTTGAATGTCTTGCTGGAGCCGTGAGGATGGAGGGGCACTGAGGGGAATGAAGTCAGTGTCGCCGAAGAGGTACGAGTGCAAACACCTGTTGCTATCCAATCCCCTACTGCAGTCCATAGTATAACTTCGTTCTGACCAGGTTCACTGTCCTCCGGGTCCACTCGGCCAATCCTGGTGGCATCTCAGCGAGTGGGGTCCCATCAGTTGACTGTTTCTCAAACGCCAGAAAGCCCTCAATGCAATCCTAGCCGGATCGATGCCTTATTTTTTTTTTTATTTACCGTTTGCCTGGTCAAAAGTATAATACCGCACCTGACCGGGACGACACTCGATCCGATAGGATACGATACGATCTGAATTCCACCGCTCAGCATCCTGCGTGGTGGTTGTGTACAAGACGACAAACACATCGGCAAAAGGGTCAAAGCTACGCCCAAGACCAGAAATGACTTCATAGAATCAGCCAGAACTCAGCCCCACTCGGTGCGTACTAGACCAATTTACCTACTTACTAGCATTTACCTACTTCCGGACGGGTACACTAGACTCGCATCGTCGTCCCATGACTTCACTCCCCCACTTCGCGTCCCGCAATAACCTCATCAAACCCCCCAAACAAGGCACACGAGGAGAAAGCCAGCGAAAGGAGAAGACAGAGAACCTCCAGGAACCACCCTATCGAAACAATTTGGTTCCTGATGGGCCATATTAGAAGCTTTGTCGAGGCGGCGGACCCGCCCCCTGACCACCACCATCACTGATATCATCCACGAAACCGTCCATGGTTCTGGACAAGGGACACGCGATGTATGTCCCTCCGGAAATCCAGATCGCAAATACACTCCACGCCTTGCTCCACCTTTTTTTTTTTTTTTTTTTTTTTTTCCACCACAACCTTAGCTGTTAGGTCGGTCCTTACTGCCACTTCCCGTCAACAGAGGTTACTCGTTGCCTGAGGACTGAATTGGCGCATCAGGTGATACAGTACTTAAAACGTACAGCCTTAGTATGCATAATGGCGTTCCGAGCATGTTTCCTAGGCCGACAGAAAAGGAAGACACAACAGAAAAGACTTAAGAGTAAAGCAACAATGAATCTAGCCACCACCGCTGGTCCTTCTTAGTCAGTCCCGATTGATCAGTCAATGGCAACAAGACCATGGCGAGATCTTTCAAGCCTGTTATGATAGCATTGCCAACAGGACATGCAGAGCAGCTCAAGTTAATGCTTGTGGCTTGGGTCCCATGACCATAGAGCTCCCTAGCTCCCAGAAGTCCCTGAACTTGATACGAAATATATATCGAGTTCGAGTAGTACCAATCTAAGCGAGAATACGGCGACTGCAGCCGGTGTATTTCTGAGGTCTGGCCGGGTCTATTCAAATTTTGCTAGTTGATGCTACCTATACTGTACAATGGAGGCTCCCGCATAGAAAAAGCAAGACGACGGACAGGAAAAACTATTAATTATATTTTAACCAAAGAGGATAAACGCCCCTAGGATAGGAATAGGGTCATCACAACATCGGAACCAGTCGTCTCAGGGATACCAGCCCAGTGACACGTCTATTTCAGTCCAAATCCTTCACTGTTGAGCACTGCTCCCCAGAGTCTCCGCTCCAATTGTTCCCGCGTAGTATACCGATACAGCCCTAGCATATTGAAACATGTACGTGCAGTTGGGAATCGTGACGAATCGTCTCCGAGACAGGCCACCCGGATTATGAGACTCGTTGCCCCCATGGCTGGAATACGGTCACTGCCTGTAATGAACGATAGTATCTTTCGCTGTGCCTGCGGCTGTGTGTGCTCGAAGAAATTCCAGAACCACTGCACGACCGGCACCATCTCTGGCCGGGGGTCCGACCAGTTGTCGTACGTGGCAACTGCCCGTAAGGACGCCACATCCAACGGTTCGTCTGAGCCGCGTACTAGAAGTTCAATCTCTTCAGGGCGAAAGAGGGACAACGCATTGCCGCCACAGACAGTGAAGAAGCCACGTTTGAAGGGCTCGAACTGTCTGGTAACGGCCGTATCCAAAAGGTAATGAACATACAAGTCCACAAACTCCCGTCGGTTCGCATTGGTAACAGGCCGCTTGTCACCCCCGGTGCAGAGCGGCACCGCAACTACTTCGCCGTAGCGATCCATTTGAGCGACAAAGTCATAACAAAAGGTCTCCGCAACATCTCCTTCGAAATCCAGAAGGGCTCGGAGGCCCTTCGCAAGTGCAGGTCGATACTCAGCCAGGTCATCTAGGCTACACTTGTAAGTCGACCGTGTTGTTGCAGGCTGCGGTCCAGTCGTCTGCGGAGCGGCAGCCAGGAGTTTCTTGAATGCGAAGGGGGGAAGGTTTATATCAAGTATTGTGGAGTTGTAAATGGCTAGTCCCAGTAGAACTCCGACCAAAAAAAACTGCTCCGATGATTCAAAGCAGTATGGATTGAAATAACAAAACTGCGAGTCTTCATCATAGATAAAGAGTCCTGCACACACGTTAGTACACATATTTATCAAGGGCAACGAAAATCCTACCATGATGAGGGTCAAAGATCTCCCGAACCAACAGCAAGAACCATTCCTTGCGGAGACCGCCTGCGTCCACACCCTCTTCACCAATGAATTCAATACGGAGGCCCTTCTTGATCTCTTCTTGACTCGAACCTACGACTTCACTAACACTTCGTAGGCTATCATCGACCAAACAATCGCGTCGCACCCTCAACAAAAGATACTGGCTGATCGCTTTCCGACTCAATATGCTATTGAAGAAGGCTTCACGGGCTTTGACTTCCATTTGTCGCCGTGCATCGTGCTCAAGTATATGAATCTTGGCCCAGATGCTAAGGAAGAATGGATATTGACAGAAAGAGAACTTCGTGCTTTTAGACTCCCAGGCTTCAAAATCAGTCACAAGGTCCGAGTAGTCTAGCAATGTATTATAGAATGCGCTGACTGGGACAATTTGCCCTCGTCGGTATCCTTGAGGCTTGGCCGCAGAACCTGCTTCCTGACCGAGTACTCCATCCGGCTTTCGAGCAATGGTGGCGTTGTTGGCTGTGAAAAGAAGTGACATTACCCTCGCTGCTGCCCGAAGCTGCCAGTCATCACTATAGACCACTGGCTGATCACGTTTCTCGTTGGCCTGTTTGTTGGTGCTTCTCCCATTAA